CGGCGATGGCGGACCGGCGACCAGGACCTCCTCCCCCTCCCCCCCCCCCCCCCCCCCGGCCCCAACCAGAACCACCATGTACACCCCCTTTCACATCCCTGTTCACAACCGTCACCCTCGTCCACCCCCAGGTAGGACACTTCCCGTCACACGTACCTCTCACAGTACTCAAAGACCAGATGCAGGGTGCCCTTCTGGCGGAAGACCTCCAGCAAGTGGACAATGTTCTCGTGGTGGAGGAGCTTGAGGAGATGGACCTCACGCATGGCGGTCTTGCGGACAAGGGGATCTTTGTCAGACTCTTTGAATCGCTTGACAGCAACATATTGTCCTCCACTCCGCACACGACACTTGCTCACAACGCCGTACGTCCCCTCGCCAATCACGCCCATCGTTTGGTACTTTTCCATCGCTCGCTGCCCACCTCCGCCAGTCGGAGCGTGTGAGAGCGAGTCGAAGAGAGCTGTACAAGCCTGATCGTCTGTCAGCCGCTACCTTTTTTTTTTTTTTTTTTCGGCACCCCAAAACGGATTCTTCTTGCCCCTCCCCCCTTCCCACTACCCTCAGGCCGATGAGATGATGAGCTCACTCCTTGCATGCCATCGTGTCTCATCTTGAATGCTCTGATCTTTCTTCCTGTATCCTCGTCTCTCGTCCCAGCAGTGTATTCAGCGGCTGTAGACAACCACGGCCGATCACCTGCCATTCATTAGTCCCACCGCAGACGCCGCCATCGCAGCCCTTTTCCGCTTTCCTCATCTCCCTTTACCATACCTTTATCTCTACCCTTGCGTGCCTGTTGCAGCTCTACCTACCAAACGTATTCCAACACAGCCCCTTTTCCTCATCCCCCCCCCCCCCCTACCCACCCACCCACAAAAAAATTGCCATGCGCTCCGCCGTCCACCGTCCCGCACTCCCGAATCGATTGGAAGGAACCCTTCGGGCCAGAGACCGCGAGTGGCGACACGGCTGACGCTGCCTCGCTGGCACCTCACCACGTTCTTCGTCGTAGGGGCATGCCACGCCGGTCTGGACGACGCCGGCCGCGGCAGCAGCGGCGCACAGGCGACGGTGGAGGTGGCGAAGTTGGCAGCGGACGGCGGAAGGGACGCAAGGGCGAGCGCGAGCTGGCGGTCGACGTGGGCATGCTCGGCTTCCACTTTGACGACTCGCGGGTCGAGCTGTACTCGGCGAGGGACTCTGGCCGGGCGGCGCGGGCTGCGATGCGTGAGCGTGCGCGCGAGGGCAACAGCTCCGCGGCGTCGCCATCCATCTCCTTCTCCAAGGACCAGTATGTCCGGGCCTCAGCCCGGTTCCTCGTCTCACTCCCGCTCCCGGCCCGCGTCGCCGCCATGCACACCATCGACATGAACACGGACTGGGACGCCATCGAAGCCGTCCTCCTCTTTGACGACGCAGATGCGCCGCTCAAGTGCCCGATCTGTCTCGATCCGCCGACCATTCCGCAGGTCACCAAGTGCGGCCACGTGTACTGCTACGTCTGCATTGTCCGCTTCATCTCGGTCATGACCAGCGGCTCGGTCACCTCGGGACGCGGCTGCAATGCCGACGAGGACCTCATCTCCGGAAATTTGTGCCCGTGTCCGATGTGCGAGGCTCACGTCTCGCTTCGAACCCTCAAGTCGGTTGTCTTTGAGCCAGTCACATCGGTGGCGCGTGGTGCCCGCATCTCGCTCCGCAAGCTCGTCCGCGAAGTCGACTCGATTGTGGCCCTCCCGCCGGGCCCGGACGCGCTTGCTGTCCGCGCTGCAAACTTGCTTCCGGGCCCTAATCTACTTGGCCCGGACGCCGCGCGGTTTGTCCGTACACTTGCGGCCGACTCGGCCACGCTCGGGACTCTGCTTCACGCCGAACACGCCGGCCTCGTCGCTGCCCGCGCCCAGTTTGTCTCGTCGGGCGAGCCCGAGTTTCTGCCTGCCGTCGACCTCGCTCTTGAACGAGTTGCCGACCGCATCGCCGCTCACGCCGCGGCGGAAGAAGCAAAAGCGACCGGCGCGCCTCCAGAGTCTGCGGCACCCCATGACGCCGCTGCCTCCAAGACATACACACTCTATCAGGGCGCCGACGGGCAGATGGTTTTCCTCGACCCGTTCAACATCCGCATGCTCTTCCATGAGTATGGCTCGTACGCGGCGTTCCCCGACTCGGTCTCCGGTCGGATTGTTGCCCTCCACCCGCACCGACAGATGCCTGCCACCCGCAAGCGGTACAAGCACCTGGCACACCTCCCGCTCACCGCCAACTTTGTCTTTGCCGAGCTCGAGTTTGACGACGGCATTCTCTCGCCCGAGACTCTTGCCGAGTTTGCCAAACTCATCGCCTCGCGTTCGGCCAAGCGCCGACAGGCCGACATCATGGCCGAACGCGACGCCGCCGCCGCCGCCACCGCCCGCGAGCAGTCGTGGAGAACTCGGCTCAACAAGCCGATGCCGCGCTACGCTGCCGCCGACTTTCCCACTTTTGGTGGCGCCTCCACTGCCGACGACGATGACGACCTGTTGCTTGCCGCCGCCATTGCCGCCTCAGCTGCCGCCGCCGCCTCAGCTGCGCCGCCGCCCCAGCCCGAGCTCGGCTCGCAGGCGGTCAACTCTGGTCACACGTTCACTGCCGCACTGCGCGGCGGGTTCGTCTCCAACGCTGTCATGTTTCCGGCGCTCGGCAAGCCGGGTGCTCCGGCGTCGTCACCGCCGCCGGCGTCGCCCGCCGCAGCCTCATCGCCGCCGGCCTCGGGCGCGTGGGGCTCGCCGCGCTCGCACACCTCTGCCGCCTTTACCGCCCCGTCCCAACCCATCGGCGCCCGTGGTGCCAAGGGCAAGTCGGGCAAAAAGGGCAAGAAGAAGACGCTCCTCTTCACCAATTCGACCACCCGCGGCAAGTCATGACGCCCACGGTCTTGGGTCATAGTAAACGCCATTGGTCGACCCGCCGTTCCCGGACCAGCGGCAGCGGCCCTCGTGCTGCATGCCACTCCCCACCCACTGCACCCGTCCCACATGCAGACGACGGTGCGCCTCTCCCCCAGTGGGCACCCACCCCACGGCCTCACCCTCATCCACCCTCCGTCCCTTCCACATGTGGTCCAGCTGGTGGTGCCGACGCCTGCGCCGGCCTCTCTCGCCCCGGCCGCCACGCCGCGCACAGCGCCCTGGCTGGCTACCGAGCTGCCGTCCACGCCGCTGACCTTTGACGCTTCGGCGCGGGCATACGTCGCCGACGTCACCGTCAGCTCTCCGGGTGTGCATCGCTACAAGGTGGTTATGCCGCGCGCAAAGACCGGCTCTTGCCCCGTCTCGGCCGAGCACGCCCTTGTCGTCGTCCTGCCGGCCTCGCCGCCGCGAGCCATCGCCACTGTCCTCGCAAAGTGCATGGGCCCGCTCGACCGCTGGGAAGAGGTCCTTGCTCCGGCTCAGACCGGAGGATACTCGACCATCCACTTTACGCCTGTTCAGGCCCTCGGCGACTCGGGATCGGCCTACGCCATCGCCGACCAGCTCTCCCCAGCGCCGGCCATCGGCTCGTGGGATGCACTCGCCGCCGCGGCAGACTCGCTGCGCGCCAGACTCGGCCTTGAACTAGTCGTTGATGTTGTGTGGAACCACACCGCAGCGTCGTCGCAGTGGATCCGCGACAATCCAGACGTCTGCTACTCGCTCGCCAACTCGCCGCACCTCATCCCTGCCTTTGTACTCGATGATGCTATCGCGCGATTCTCGAGCACCTGCCCGCCCTCACTGGCTACGCCTGCATCCGATGCTGACGTTGACGCCGTTCTCGACGCCTTTCGCAGCTCGACATTTGCCGAGCTACGGCTGTGGGAGTACTTTGTGATCGACGTTGACGGCATCGTCGCCGAGGCCCACGCCTTCTGGGCCATGCACCCGTACGCGGCAGTGGCGCCAGCACTTGCGCACCTCTCGGTCGACGAGCGAGTTGCCCACATTTGCGCGTCCCCGTCAGGCATCACCCGTATTCCAGGCGCCCGCTTTCCGCTCCGGCCCCACCTTCCTCTCCTGCTGACAGCCTTTGGCGATGAGGCCTCGCTGCGCGCGGCGTGCGACCTCATCAATCTTCCACACTACCGCGAGTACGACGAGCATGTGGCGGCCGCGTTCGCTGCGCTCCGCGGCACGCTGGCTTGGGAGCGGCTTGGCAACGGGCCGCGCGCTGGAGTCTCGATTTCGGCCGACGCGCCGCTTGCTCCGTCGTACTTTACCCGGCTCGTTGACGATGCTTCGGCCGAGGCCACACCGCAGTACATTGTGGCCAACAACGGATGGGTCGGCGCCGATCCGACAGTCGACTTTGCGGGCCCGGCCTCGTTCGACTACCTCCGCCGCGCCGTCAACATCTGGGGCGATCTCGTCAAGCTGCGGTACGGTTCGGGACCGGCCGACTCACCAGCTGCGTGGAAGCAGATGGTTGCGTACACCGAGACCATGGCGAGCATTTTTGACGGCTTTCGCATCGACAACGCCCACTCGACACCGATGCACGTTGCCGAGGCGCTGCTCGATGCTGCACGCGCCATCCGTCCCAACCTCTACGTCATGGCTGAGCTCTTTACCCCGAGCGCTGAGCGTGACGCGGAGTATGTAGCGCATCTCGGCATCCACAACCTCATCCGCGAGGGCCTTCATGTCACCTCGCCGCGGGCTCTCGCCGACTTTCTGTACACCTACTCGGGCGCGCGGCTTCCGGTGGCAGCGCTATCGCGGGAGCTCGCAGGAGTCCCACCGCACGTCCCGCGTCACAAGCCGGGCGCCATCGTTTACGAGGCGACACACGACAATCCGGCTGTGGCGGAGCTCTTTCCGATAGAGCATGCTCTCGGCCTCGCGGCGCTCATCGGTCTGACCGCCTCAGACACGGGCTCCAACTGGGGCTACGACTGGCTTGTCCCGCACCACCTCAACGTAGTCACTGAAGCGCGGCTGTACCCGGTGCCGAACTCAGGCGCCTTTATCTTTACGCCGCTCAAGGCCGCCATCCACGACCTTGCAGCCGTCGCCGCCGCCGGTGCGTACTCAGAGTTCCACGTCGAGGCCTGCGGTGACGTCATCGTCCTCACTCGCGCCAACGCCGAGAGCCAGGACGGCATTGTCGTTGTGGTCCGCTGTGCGCTAGCCCCGGCCCGCTCCACCGAGTCGATCACGCTCCCGGGGCCAATCACCAGGCTTGCCTTTGCGGCAAGCCTTGAGCTTGACGAGGCTGTTGCGTCGAGCTTTACGCAGGATGACGACTATATCAATGGGCTTTCGGGCGCCAAGCTCACGCTTTGGCGCGACCACGCTTTTGTGTACACATCGGGCACCTGGGAGCCACCATTGCCACAGCAGGGTCTCTTCGGTTACGACCGAGCGTCGAGCGAGCTCGATCTGCGGCTGCTGCCTGTCGGCGGAGTACTGGCATTCACGACGTCGGCGTGGGCGCCCGGCAGCGCGGCCGCTCTTGGCGCGGCGTGGCTGGCCGAGCACGTCGATGGAGACGAGCATCCGAGCCTGACGCGCGCTGTGGAAGAGTGCAACGGGCTTGCCATCAACGTGGCGCTGTACCGGTGCGAGGCTGAGGAGCAGAACGCAGTCGGGCGAGGGGTGTACCACGTGCCGGGCGCTGGGCCGCTTGTCTACGCCGGCCTGCAAGGCTTTGATGATCCACTGCGGGCGGCTGCGGTGGCATCCGACATGGGCGCACCGGTGTGTGCAAACTTGCGTGCCGGCGGGTGGGCGCTGCAGTACTCGCTGGACCGGCTCGATGTGTACTTGTCCAAGTTTGGCGAGGTGCTGCACGGCCTTGCAGCCTTCCGAGAGTGGCTGGGCAAGGCAGTTGGCCACGTCCTCGCGCTGCCTGCCGTTTTTGTCCCTCGCTACTTTTTCGCCGTGGTCCGTGCGGCGGTCGACGCGCTGACTGCGCGCGCACTCGCGCTCTGCCCCAACCTGCCTCCAAGCGCAAGCACGCTGACGCAGCGACTGGCAATGACCTCGTTCCAGGTCTTTGGGCCAACGGCCGAGGTCCCGACAGGCTCGCTCGCCGCAGGCCTCCCGCACTTCTCGGCCGGCTTTATGCGCGAGTGGGGCCGCGACACCTTTATCGCGCTCCGTGGCCTGTTCCTCGTCACTGGGCGCGTAGCCGACGCCGAGAAGCTGCTCATCAACTTTGCAAGGACTGTTCGTCACGGCCTCATTCCCAACCTGTTGACGGCGGCAAAAAGCCGCGTTACAACGCGCGCGACGCCTCGTGGTGGTTCCTACACGCCCTCGTCGATTACGATGCACTTGGCGGCGACGGCGCTCGTGCCTTTCTCACGAATCCGCACGCGGTTGTGCTTGACGCGCCATGGGACGAGAGCAGGCCAGTGGTATCGCTCGTCGACGTCGCTGCCCACATTCTGGAAGCGCACCTGGCTGGCATCCAGTTCCGCGAGACAAACGCCGGCGGAGAGCTCGATGCGCACATGTCGGACGCCGGCTTCAACGTCTCAGCCGGCGTTGCGCCTGCTACTGGTTTTGTGCACGGCGGCTCGGCTGCCAACTGTGGGACGTGGATGGACAAGATGGGCTCGTCGTCGCGGGCAGGCAACGCCGGAGTGCCAGCCACCCCGCGTGACGGCTCGGCCATCGAGTTGGTTGCTCTCTGCGCCGCGGTCCTGCGATGGCTGGCAAAGACCGGGCTGGTAGCCAGTCTAGCACTGCCTAGCGATGAAGCGGCCGCAGCCTGGGGCTTGAGCTCCTGCGCGCTCACACCAGCAGCTTGGTACGAGCGTATCGCGAGCAATTTTGAGCCTGCGTTCTACATACCGCTCAAGCCTGCGGCGGGCGATGGCCCCGGCTGCTGGGCAGTGACGACCGGAGTATACAAGGACTGCGTCGGGGCGAGCCACGGGTGGACCGACTGGCAGCTGCGGCCCAATTGTGCGGTGGCGTTGGCAGTTGCGCCAGAGTTGTTTGATGCCGACCACGCCAAGGCGTGCCTGCGGACGCTCACCGACACGCTCGTCGGCACGCTCGGGATGAGGACGCTCGATCCGCGAGATCCACACTATGCGCCGGTCTACGACAACTCAACTGACTCGGACGCATACGCCACTGCCGCCGGCTTCAACTACCACCAGGGCCCCGAGTGGGTCTGGCCGCTCGGCTACCTCCTCCGTGCCCTCGCCGTGTTCTTTGGGAGCGAGCTCGACGTGGGCGCCTCGATCGACTCGATCCTTCATCCGCACGCCGAGCACCTGGAGACCGATGTTTGGCACGGCATGCCCGAGCTTGTCAATCCTGACGGCGCCGAGTGTCCGTTCTCTTGCCCAACCCAGGCCTGGTCATCGGCGACCCTCCTCGATGCGCTGCATGTCCGCGGCCTGTAGCCGCAACGGACAGCCGTGCCGTAGCGCCGGTATGAGTGCGGGAGTGCCCACTCTCCCCACCGCTCTCGTGAGCCACTAGAGACGCAGCGAGGGAAAGCTTTCCGCATGGTATGAACACACACCTGCAGCATGTGTATTTGGGTGCCGACAGGAGGGCGGGTGCTGCTGTGAAGCGAGGCGGGAGGCTGAAACGTGTGGCATGCGGCGGTGGTGGTGTTGGTCGGCGGCTGGGCCCGACAGGCCTGGACTCACATTCCCACGTCTGCGGCTTGCGCAGGAGTACCAAGAAACAGAGGAGGATCGGTTGGCCGAAGTCTTCCAGCGGCTGGATGTGCATGAGCGCCGCAAGATTAGCGCCAAGGACATCCAGCTGGCGTTCCGCACCATCGGCGTCTCTGTGACGCGGGCCCGTGTCGACGACATCGTGTGGGAGTGCGACTCGGACGCAGACGGCTTTCTCACCCTCGCAGACATCGAGAGCATGTACTATCGCGCCCCGCAAGAAGCGTCTGAGTTTTCGCCGTCGCGTCTGCTCAACCTCGTCGAGTTTCTCATGTACGATCCCGAGTCATCCGGCTTTATCACCGTCGAGGATGCCATGCACATCATCTGTCGCCGCTTCCGCGAGCAGCTCTCTCCGGCTCTCCTCCGCAAGTTTCTCCTCGATACCCAGCTCTCGCCGGCCAAGACACTCTCGTTCAAGGAGTTTGTCCGCCAGATCAGACTCCGTCTCAAGCTTGCTGCACGCTCGATCACCTGATGGCAGTAGCACTGCCCCCCCCCCTGTCTTACCTCCCTGTGCCATTCATCCCTGCGCCATTCATCCCTGCGCCATACATATACATCCCTGCGCCATATCAATAGTGTTTCTCTGTGCTGTCACGATAAAAAATGACACATTGCGCCCAACCCAATCCATTTCCGTGTCCCCTTGTCCGACGTGGCACCATCTCCATCCACGCAGGTCACGTGCCCCTCCCCCCCCCAGGCCCCCCCCCCCCCCCTCCCCCCTCCCTCCCCTCCCCGCACTTCACACTCCTCCACCACTTTTCTCTTCACATCTTGTACTAGTTCAGCTACAACTTGAGAAGTCCCACCATGTCGTCTGTGATGAAGGAGCGGTTTGGCGGTAAGGCCAAGGCCTCGTCACCTCGGAACACTGACACGCGTGCGGCCGGCGAGTCGACGCTGACCTCGCTGGACTCGGTGGTTGACGCCTTTGTGGCCAAGTGGACGCCCGAGGGCTACACCCGCGAGGACATTGTCTGGTTCAACGTCTTCTTCCTGGCGGTTGTCCACGTTGGTGCTCTCTACGGCATCGGCCTCGCGCTTACCGTGCCGCACGGCCTCTTTCTGGCGGCGCTCGGCCTCGGCATCCTCTGGCCCATTTCCGGCCTTGGCATCACCATGGGCGTCCACCGGCTCTGGTCGCACAAGTCGTACCAGGCGCACATTGTTGTCCGTATTGCCCTTGCCATGGTCAACTCGATGGCCTACCAGGGCTCGATCTTTGAGTGGGCGCGCGACCACCGCGTCCACCACATGGGCTCGGAGACGCCGGCCGACCCGTACAACGCCGCCGACGGCATGTTCCACGCCCACATGGGCTGGGTCATGCTCCGCAAGCGCCCCGAGGTTATTGCCGCTGGCAAGAAGCTTGATCTCTCGGACCTGACCTCGGACCCGGTCGTCACCCTGCAGCAGAAGTACTACCTGCCGTCGGTCCTTGTTTTCTGCTACGCGCTCCCCACCATGCTTGGCTACTACTACACCGGCAATGCCTGGGCCTCGTTCTGGATCCTTGGCGTCTTCCGCCATGTCTTTGTCCTCCACTGCACCTGGTGCGTCAACTCGCTTGCCCATGCAATTTCGCACGGCTACCGCCCCTACAACAACCTCATCCACGCTGCCGAGAACCTCGTGGTCTCGCTCATCTCGATGGGCGAGGGCTGGCACAACTTCCACCACGCCTTCCCCACAGACTACCGCGCTGCCGAGGGCCTCTGGTGGCAGTTCAACCCCTCCACCATGGTCATTGACTTCCTCGCTCTCTTTGGCCTGGTCTGGGGCCGCCGCGCTACCTCGCTCTCGCTCGTCGCCAAGCACCGCCAGCGTACCGCTGACCGCATTGCCAAGGGCATCAACCTCCTCCAGCACGACCACACGGTCCAGGTTTCGTAAACCTCGTATTTTCCCCCTTTTCTCCGCCACCGCCCCGACGCCGCTCCCTCCGCCGCAGCGAGGAGGCAACGGATCTTGTTCCCCACGTCCACCTCCCCCCCACCCCACCTTGCCCCCTGCACACGTCACCCTCACCCTCTTCTTTCACACCGCCCCTCCTCCCATCCCACCATGTCGTCCTCGGAGGGTCTCTCGTACTCGTCGCCGGCCCCTGCCTCCACTGGCAGTGCGGCTGCTGCTGCCGCTGTTCCGTTGACAGCGTCGGCTCTCCTGAGCGACTCGGACTGGGACTCATCGTCGTCGACGGGCGCTCTACCAAATGCCACACGGTTCTCCTTGCCACGGAATGGTGATGGAGCTCATGTTGTAGCGAGACCGGGTGCAAGGAAAAGCGCCAACAGGTCGAAGACAAAGATCCGTACCAGGCGCCGGCGGACGTCGTCGCCACGCAAACGTACTCCCGCTGATGCCGCACCCGAGCAGGCATCGGTGGCAGAGCTGGTGGCCCGGGCAGGACTGATGGCGAGCGCAGACGTGTGGCGAAACAGTGGAGCGGCAGAGGTCGACGCTGCGCGGAACGAGCTGCAGGATCGTCTCGATCGGTTCGAAGTCCGCAAGGGAGCTCGTCTGCTCGCCGAGGTGTGGGAGTTGGCACTGGCGTCGTTTGCGGCCACGACACGCTTTGCTCCTCCGCTGCTTTGGCTGGAGCGGGTGCTGCTTTCAGCACTGGGATCGGTTGCTGGCTACTCGAAGCACAACGTGCTTGCAGCTGAGCGGCACTTTTGGCTGCTCAAGACGTACGCCGCAACTGTCGAAGCGCTTCTCCTCCTCCACCGGCTTCTGCTCGCACCGGCGTCGGTCGAGAATCCGCCGGCACCCACCGGCCTCGCCGCTGACGCTGAGGCTGTGGCCCGCCACGACTTGCAGATCGGTCTGGACGCGCTGGTCTCGGTCGGCGCCTTGCCGGCCGCAGTGGCGGCAGTCGAGCGATCGCGGAACAAGGGCAACCCCAATGTAGCGTATGCAGCGGCGCGCGCAGTCTGCGCCCTTCATGCGCTGAATGCCTCACTGGACGGCACGCTCCCGCCCGAGACAGCGGCAACACTCTCCCTGGTTGTCGCCGACGCCAGCCTCTCGCAGGCCATTGGGTACTTTGTCGGCTCCTCGCTCCAGACCAAGCCCAAGAACTGGTTCCCGCCAGCCGTGCTTCTCTCGAGCATGTTTATGGCTGCGCGTTCGTCAGCGGCTGCGCTTGTCCAGTTGCAGACCTTCCTCTACAAGCAGACTCAGCGTCGTGCGTCGTGGAAGTGGGTCTACGCCATTTGCGACGGTCTCGCCTTTGTGGCGCTGACTGCGCCGGACCCGGCGATCCGTACTCAGGCCCTTCAGGGCCGGCACGCGGACCACCTTGATCTTCTCGACCTCATCCAGCTGCAAAAGTTCCTCGTCCCCTCGCGAAACAAGAGCATCCGTGCCGGTGTCGAGGCTGCCGTTCGGCGGATTGTTTCGTGGACCGCAGATGCTAACAACGAGCAGCTCGCGGCCGAGCGCCGAATCGCCAATGAGCTCCGCGCCGAGCTGGAATCTGAGCGCGCGGCGCACCGGCTCTCGCAAACCGAGGCCAATCTTCGAGTCGAGCACGCTACCAACGGCCTGCGCGAACAAGTCGACTTGCTCAAAGCCCAGACGGCTCGGGCGGTGTCCGAGCGCAACGACGCGCTTGCCCGCACCGACATTACTGCCGCCACCATTGCAAACCTTCGCGATGCCAACGCCAACCTCAAGGCCGAGCTCGCACACGAGCAGGCATCGGTTGCCTCGCTGAGGTCTGCGCTCGAGCTTGCACCAGAGCTGCGGGCCCACAACGAGCTCCGGTCGCAGGTCTACACGCTCAAGGCCGAGGTCGAGCGACTGCGTGCGATCGAGGCGCACGCCGCCTCCCTCAACAATGTCCACTCGGAAGCCACGGCGGTAGTCCACGATCGTGCGTCGCTCGCAGAGTCGCTCAACGCTGCGCTCGCCGCCAACGACAAGCTCATGGCTTCGCTCAAGGCGTCCAAAGCCAAAAATGCGACGGTCAAGTCTGCTGCGCGCGATCAAGCCCGCGAGCTGCAAGCTGCACTCTCTGCCCGTGACGACGCCGTTGCTGCGCTCGAGGCCGAGCAGGCGAAGCTTAACGGGTTCCGTGCGGCAGCTGCTGAAGAGTCTGCGGCGGCGTCGGCACGGATTGACGAGCTGGCCGCCCAAGTGGCATCACTGAGCGAGGTGCTGGCGAAGTCGCGGGCAGTGGCGGCCGAGGTCGAGGCAGACGCGATAGCCGCGCGCACTGCCCGCGACGAGGCCGTAGACGCGCTTGCCGCGGCTCAACAGGCTGTTGCGGAGCAGACGTCGGCGGCAGCATCGGCGACGTCTGCCCTAGCCTCGCTGCAGAGCGAGATGATGACCAACGTCCGCGATAACCATGCTGCGCTTGCGGCGGCAGCGGCGCGGCACGACGAAGTGGCGGCAGCGGCGGCGACGGCGACAGCCAAGCTCGACGAGCTCCGTGCAGAGCTTGCTCAGACGAGCGCAGAAAAGGCCAAGCTCGAGGCTCGCATGCAGCATATTGTCGACGACCATGCCGTGTGTGCAGACAAGCTCAGCGCTGGGGCCGAGGCCAATACACAGCTCCGAGCCGAGGCGGCATCGCTGGCGGCGCAGGTCGAGTCGCTCCAGGTTCGAATCGCGGAGCTCTCCGACTCGGATGTCATCACCAAGCTGCAGCACAAGGTGACGGCGGCCGAGTCGAAGCTCGCCACCGAAGTTGAGCACCACGCGGCGGCGCGCGCCGCCCGCGACGCTGCACTCGACGCCGGCTCGGCGCTGAACGCGCAGTTGTCCAACGAGAGCGCGGCGCGAGCGCGCGTCGAGTCTCAGCTGGCTGCAGCGACTGCAGATGCTGACAAGGCACACGAAGAGATTGCGGCCCTCAAGGTGGCCAACCGCGAGCTGTCGGACAAGTACCACGCGCTGGTGAATGAGCACAAGGACCTGCACTCGGTGCATACGACCAAGTCGAACTCACTCACGGCACAAGAGTCGGCGACGGCAGCGCTCAAGGCACGGATTGTCATGCTCGAGCAGCAGCTGGGGACGGCCAAGACCGATCTGGCCACTCTCGCAGCAAAGCACGCCCAGGTCGAACAAGCACGGATCGCGTTGGAGTCGCAGGTGGCGGCCAAGACTGCTGCGGCAGCGGCAGCGTCGGCTGAGGTGGTGCGGCTAGAGACGGCACTGCAAGCGGCAAAGTCCGCAGCTGACGTTGCCCGCGAGAGCCACGAGGCACGACAAGCGGTTCTTGAGCAGCAGCTGAGCACGGCGGTGAAGGCGTTAGACGCGGCCAATGCCCAGCTGGCGACGCTCGAGTCAGCCAAGCTTGTTCTCGGCGAGGACGTGAGCCAGAAGCTCAAGTCGCTGCAAGATGCCACCGACGAGATTGCTCGGCTCAAGGCGGCGCTGGCGGCCGCCGAACACCGCGCGGATGAGGCTGCGGCTGCGCACAAGTCGGCAGCAGACAAGGTGACACTCGAGGCAACTAAGAGTGCCGAGCTTGAGGCCGCTGCAGCCGGCCTGCACAGCTCTATCAACGCGCTGGAGAGCCGGTGCCACTCCGCCGAGGCGCGGGCCGAATCGCTCGATGCCGAGCTCCGGGCGTCGCAGGACGCGCACACCCAGACGGTGATTGCGCTCGAGGCGGCGCAGAGTGAGGCGGCAGCAGCGGCGGCTGCGCACAAGGCACTCGAGGGCCGGATTGAGCAGCAAGTGGCGTCGAAGCGCGAGCAGCTGTTCGAGTGGGCAGCGACGTTTGGCCCCGGCTACGCCAAGCTCTTCCGTGACAAGATGGCGGAGGCCATGGCGGACCGGTCCGGCAATGATGACGTGGCCATGCTCCAGGCCCTGCTAACTATCTCTGCCGCGATGAACCGGGCGCTGCTTGATGAGCTCACCACGCTCCGCAAGGTTGTCGCCGACGCTGACGAGTTGCGGGTCGAGTTTGCGCATCGTTTGGCTGGTGCGATGGAGGATCACCTCGCCAAGATCTCCGAAGACGCGGTGTCGGCAGCCGGTGGGGGTGCCAGCGGGTCGGACACGCTCGCGCGGCAAATCTCATCGGATGTCTCGGTCAACAGCGAACTGGCGTCAACAATTACGCTCCGCAACTTGCTTGTCAACTACGCCCACCTCTACGAGGATGAGTTCAAGGCCCGGATGGAGGCTATTGCCGAGGGCCGGCTTCTCTCGCGGACGGCCATGGTCGAGGCCGAGATTGCGGCTCAGCTCGAGTCGTCGTTCCTCGAGCTCCGTTCTAAGCTCTCCGAGACCAAGTCAAAGGAGAAGGAGGACAAGTCGCGCAAGATTATGGCCTCGGCGGCCTCGATCTGGGCCGGGCGGCCTGTCGGCCATGCCTCGTCGTCGGACGAGACGGCCCAGGCTTCAGGCGAGGAGACTGAGGCATGATTGTTGCCTTGATGCCGATGGTCACTCTGGCTGAGCACAGCAACGCCAAAGTCATGCGTGTAAAGGTAGAAATAGGCTTGCCAGGCGAGCGAGGCCGCCCAATGACCTCTGTAGCCTGCCGTCAGCTGCAGGAGGACGGGCGAGATGAAAACGGTTCGCCTGTCGGGCAGACACCGCCGACAGGGGCCGCAGCGGCAACTCTGTGGCAGACTCGACTCGTCCATGCCTACAGGAGCACGGACAGAGGGGCGTGGTGGGGACGGCAGCGGACTGGGTGGTTGCCGGCAGTGTGGCGGGTGCCGGCAGTATGTGGCTCCTGCGCCTGGAGGCGGCGGCTGCGAGCACTGTGGCTGCCGGGCTGCTGCCCACCGCGGCGGCCCTGGTGGCATGCCCGATGGCCATGGCCTGCCTGGTGGCGGTGGCGGCGGGGGCGGCGGCGGGAGCAAGATCAAGGTCAAGACCAAGACCAAGGCCAAGGCCAAGGCCAAGACCAATGCCAATGGCAAGCCAGGCGCTGGGGGAGGAGGAGGTGGAGGCGGCGGTGGTGCGGGTGGTCCTGGCGGCGGACCGGCTGGTGGCATTGTTGGCGGTGGCGGGGTCGGCGGCGAGCTCGGCGGTGGCTTGGACGATGGCGGCGGGGTCGGCGGCGGCGGCGGCGGCGGCGGCGGGCGGGACGAGGTTGAGGTGGTGGAGATCAGTGGCGGCGAGATCGGCTGGCGGGGCGTGGGGCGGGTCGGCGGCGGTACGGGCGATGTGATCATGAGCGGATGGGTCAAGCTGCGGGGCACCTTTCAGCGGTGGAAGAACAAGTGGATGGTGCTCAAACCGGGCAAGCTGCTGTTTTTCCGGCGGCCGACGTCGCGGAAGCACTCGGTCTACGTCTACATTCACGGTTGCAAGGTGGTGGAGAAGCCGTCGCGGCGGCGCGGGTTCTCGTTCAAGATCTACCACCCCCAGGGCCGCCGCATCATGTCCAAAAAGATAGCCACCGACCACTGCGTCCTCCGGGTTCCGCTGCGGAAGGAGATGGAAGCGTGGCTGGCAGCACTGCGATCGGCCGTGGCCTACGCCGACGCGCATCTGCCTCTGCCGTACCATCCCAAGCACAACCAGTTTACGCTCCGCCACGGCAACCTTGCACTACTGGACAATTCGCGGCGGGTGTCGAATGGGAGTGGGGTCGGCGCCGCTACTCTTGGCACGTCTGGCGGACTGGCCAACGGCGAGAGCCGGGGTGGTGCCGGGGCTGGGGTTGGGACCGGTGGAGGCGAGCCGGGAGGCGGATCCGGAGCCGGGTCGGCAGCGAGCGAGCGGTTGAGCTTAGAGCAGAGCCAGGGGGCCGAGAGCGCAGCGGCAGCTTGGCGAGCGCTGGCCAACACAGTGACGCCAAAGCGCGGTGAGACGCGGCTCCAGGCGTGGATCCGGGTTCTTCACGCTGGCTACGTGCGGGCTCCGCTCGGGCTGGGCCGTGCGCTGCCGCAGGTCGAGGTCGCGCTCTCTGCCGAGCAGCTGGAGCTTGTGCGGCTTGCGATTGGGCATCTGCGGAACGGGGCGTCGCTGGACTCTGTCTCGCTCCCGGCGTTTGTCTACCAAGACCGGTCGCTGCTGCAGCGGCTGGGCGACCTCGGGCTATCGTCGCCGTACCTTGCGTCAATCAAGCAGATCGATTCTGCACCGCGGCGGATGGTTGCGGTTGTGCAGTGGGTCCTTCACGTTCTCAACATCAACGCAATGGACGGGGCGCTGTTGCGGCTGCCACTTACGCCGCTGCCGGGCGAGGTCCACCGCGAGCTGTTTGCACTGCCGCGACCGACCGATGACGACACCAGCCTCCCGGGCTCGCCGCCGCTTGTGACGCACTTTGTGGCGGAGCATCTCGGCTCGTCGCCGCATGCCACCGGATTTTACATGACTAACCGCGACGCCGGGTTTGTGGCCAACGGCTCGCTGGTCTTTGACTCGGTGTACAAGGGGTGGTGCGTCGAGGGTGGGCCGTCGAGTGCGTCTGTCATTGACCTGATGTTTCTGGCGCATTCGGAGGTGTACACGGTGACGCTGCCTTTGATGCGGGCCACGGGACTGCCGCTGGGATCGGTGGCTGTTGACTATGTGGGTGAGGCGAGTGTGGTGTGCCCGTCATCGGGCCTTGCCGCGACGCTCAACTTTGAGTCGCGTGGCCTGTTTGGCGGCTCGTTCCACAACGTGTCCGGCCGGGTGGTCGAAGTCGTCAGCAGCGAGGCCGAGCGCGAGCGCGAGCGTGAGCGCGAGGGCGATGGCGAGCGCGGTGATGACGAGTTGCCTGTGACACCCGGGGGCGAGCGTACCGGGCCCGACTCACCACCGCGTGGCAAGACCCTCTTCACTCTGTCGGGCAAGTGGAACGACTCGGTCCGCGTGGAGCGCGACGTCGGTGAGGGCGGCGGCGACTCCGAGGCGTGGGAGCTCGACGTCTCGAATGCCACCATCCTTGCCATGGCCGCCAACATGGAGCGGTATGGTGCGGCCGACGACAACTGTGCCGAGTTTGAGTCGGCCAAGGTGTGGCGCGAGACGGTGACGGCACTGCGCAACGGCAACGCCGTCGGCGCGCAGGCTGCCCGCGAGCGGGTGCAAGCCCACAAGCGGGCACCGGGCGCCGGGCGGGCACCGTCGCTGTTTGTCTCTCTTGCCGACGACGACGTGTGGGAGTACGCGTACGCCAACACGGTAGTGAGCCATCGGGGTGTGTGCGATCGCGATCGTGGTGGCGGCGTCATCCGCCCGTTTGCACTCACCGGCTCATTCGCCGGCACCGGCTCTGGCGACGGAATGGGTGACGGGTCCGAGGCCGACAACGGTGGCGACATGCATGGCGACGAGGACGATGACGACGACGACGAGGTTGAGGACTCGGAGCTCTCACTCGATTCATCAGTATCGTCAGACGAAGGAGCCGGTGGGCTGATGCTGCGGGCGTACTCGAACGGCGGGCATCGTGGACGGGCGCTGGCCCAGGTCCAGCGGCGAATGGCCAAGCAGTACAAGGAGAAGGCGCGATCGGGCACGGTGACGCCGCTCGAGTCAGCAGTCACACACGATGTGCTGCGTCGGCTCGGCGAGCTCGAGCAGACGAATCGGGAGCTTGTTCAGGGCATGCGGGCGGCCGAGGCGGCGGCGCGGCGGCGAAGCCCGCGACAGTGGTTGGCCGATGCTGGCGTGGTGGCGCAGCTTGTGCAAGTGTGCGTGCTAGTGATGGTGGCGATGATGCTCGCGCGGCGCGAGGCCTGAGTTTGATCATAAAGGCAGGGAGTTTAGTCTGCAGCTCCTGCATGGAGCTTAGTACGCGTTGTCGGCGGCAGGGGCCTGAAGGCCCGGGTCGAGGCCAACCTTGACCTCGGTGTTGGCGGCACCAGGGCCGGCAGCGGTCGAGGTCGTCGACGCGCGGTAGCCACCGTCGGCGGCACCAACACCCTCGCGCAGGCCGGGGTCCGAGCCCGAGACAGCAACCTTGGTGTCGGCCGATGCCGTGGGGCCAGCGGCGGTGGTCGTCGTCGACGACCGGTACCCACCCGACGGCGGCGGCGCACCTGCAGCAGCCTGGAGGCCTGGGTCGTTGCCCGAGACGGTGACCTTGGCCTCCTGCGAGGTCGGGCCGGCGGCGATGGTGGTGCGGCGGTAGCCGTCGCCAGCATCTCCGGCAGCTGCGAGCTTGCCGGCATCGTTGCCCGAGATGGTGACCTTGGCCTCCTGCGAGGTCGGGCCGGCGGCGATGGTGGTGCGGCGGTAGCCGTCGCCAGCATCTCCGGCAGCTGCGAGCTTGCCGGCATCGTTGCCCGAGATGGTGACCTTGGCCTCCTGCGAGGTCGGGCCGGCGGCGATGGTGGTGCGGCGGTAGCCGTCGCCAGAGCCGCCAGCAGCAGCAAGCTTTCCGGCATCGTTGCCAGAAACAGTCACCTTGGCCTCCTGCGAGGTTGGGCCAGCGGCAATAGTGGTGCGGCGGTAGCCGTCGCCAGAGCCGCCAGCAGCAGCAAGCTTTCCAGCATCATTGCCAGAAACAGTCACCTTGGCCTCCTGCGAGGTCGGGCTGTGTGGATTGGGTTTGTGCGTGAGTGCCGAGCGCGGAGGACAGGCGAAAAAAAAAACGTGGCACCTGAACCAGCGATGATCATTGCCGCTTGGGGCAAGTGGCTTGGTGACGGAGGGGGGGGGGGGAGGGGGGGGAAGGAAGGGGGGAGGGAGAGGCGGTTGGAGGAGAATGAACGTACCCAGCAGCAATGGTAGTGCGGCGAAAGCCGGCGGTGTTTGCGGCGGGAGCGTACTTGCCTGTGTGTGGGAGGGGGTGGGTGTGGGAGTGTGGGGGGGGTGAGTCTGTGGGTGTGTGGGGGGGGGGGCACCTGCGACCTTTCTTGCGTTTCGGAAGAACCCGAGCAGAGAGGCAGCACGCTTCGTGCGAGACACGGAGAAGGTGGGGCAGCGCAGAGAAGGAGGGGGAGGGGAAGAAGGAGAACGGGGTGGGTAGAGGGGGAGAGAGGGCTCCGTACCCGCGTCAATGTTGGGACCATCCTTGTGCTTGTTGGTCCCGGGTCCTGCCATCTGGCGCCGCATGTTGTCTGTGTGTGGTGGGGCAAAGAAGAGGTGTGTAAGCTGGGAAAGTGACAAAGAGGCTGGTGGCCAGCCCTCATCCAAACTCAAGTGCCTTGTGCAGCAAGACGAGTTGCTTTTCGCTTGTCTCTTTGACCCCGAGGTGACCCCGGAGCAGCTGCGGCAGGTTTACGGCTACCACGCCAAGGCATTGTACGGCGTCTGGACGACGGACACATTGATCCATCACATACGCCGCGACGTGTGGGTTCTTTTTAGCAAAATCGCGATTGCGCTCGATGGCGAGCTTGCGCGCATCGAGGGCGAATCTGTCTCCGAGGTGGTGGAGATTGCGTTAGCCCCGGACGATGCTCCTCCGTGGACGTGCATTTGCGAACAGCAATGGCGGTCCCAGAGTGATCTGTCGTAGTATCGTGAAGTGTCGGAGTTTGCTCCGGACAAGGACCAGCGCCGGCTTTCGAGCAGCTGCCTTTCCATCACACTGCTTATCGAGGGGTACACCAAGGCGCTTGCTCAAGCCACCTTCGACCAGTAGTCCATCGGCGAAACGCTGTCGCCTGACACACGCATCCAGCTGATCTCGCACCAAGTGCCACTTTGGCGATGACGTGCGCATGGCCGGACATATGGAGGCAGCAGCGGCGTTCCTCCGTCCGCTACTGCTCCCGTCTGCTGTAGCTGCGAGACATGCTCAGTCGTAAGCGCAACCGTCTTGGCTTTGAAACGGTCGAGACGATGCGACTGGATCGTCGCCCTCACGAAGCTCATTCAATGGGCTCAGGTATTCATCGTGTCCCGGCCGATACTTTGCGCGACTGGCGAGACTGCTGGCGGCCCTGGCGCTGTAGCGTTCACGACCTTTTTTCCCCACTTGTGGGCCGAGGCAGCCCTCCCGCGCGCGTGGCTATGTCGACAGAGGCCCTTCTTGCGCTTCACGAGCTGGAACGGGCCCACTCAAGGCTGGTGGCGGATGGCGAGGATGCCCGGGCAAGAGTGGAGGTGCTGCAAAGCAGGCTGGAGGCGCTGGAGGCGCGGCGGGCCGAAGGCGGGGTGGAGGCTGGTGCGAGCGGAGCGGCGGCAGCGGCGGCGGCGGCGTCGGCTGCAAGCGCCAGGGCCGAGGCTGCGGCGCGCGAGAAGGTCAGCCAGCTGGAAGCGGCACTGGCGGCGGCGGAGGCTCGGGCGCGGGCTGCCGAGGCGGATGCGGCGCGGGTGACGGAGCGGTTTGTGGCGCTGGAGGAGCGGGCGGGTGCGGCCGAGGCTGCGGCTGCGGCTGCGGCGATGCAGGCGGCGGGCGAGGCTGCGGTGGCGCAACAGTTGGCGCGCGAGCGACTGCTGGGCGCAGAGCCTGTGCTTGGCGCACGGCTACTGGAGGACGACGAGCTGGAGGGTCATGGGATCGAAGTCGATGTGGTGCGACCGGGTGGAGCGGCCGACATGGCAGGCATGCAGCCGGGGGATATCATTGTGGCGGTCGAGGGGATGGCGACAGTCTCCCACCCGGCGTTCAATGTTGTGCTGGAGAACGCGTTTCCCGGCGAGGTCAACACGTTTACTTTGCTCCGCGGCGGGAGGCAGCTCGAGGTGGAGGTGCGATACCACGCGTCAGGGATCGGGTATGACGAGCTGATGGCGCTGCGCGAGGCCGCTGGCGCGGCGTGGGTGACCGAGATGGACGAGTCTGCGTTCCATGTCCGCGACGCGCATGTAGTGACCGTGAAGCGGTGAGGGTGGCAACGGCACGGCAGCGACATCGAGTGCAATTTAGATACGAGGCGGCGCATACACTAGAGAGTGGGGAGAAAGGCCGCCATGTCTGAGGCGACGTCGAGCGACCAGACGCGGGCCGACTCGTCATTGGAGCCTGTGATGAGAGCCATTGTGTAGGGCGACGAGAGCGGGGTCGAATCCGCAAGGGCTGGGCCAGCGGCGATGGAGAAGACGGCGGCGCGAGTCGAGGTGCGGAGGATGCCGAGCGGGCGGGAGGGTGTGCGCGTGTCCCAGGCGTAGACGCCGCCGTCGGCGCCACCGGCAAGTACGCCGGTGGCGCCAGTGAGCTGAGCGCAAAAGACGCCAGCGGCTGGGCCGGCACAGGTCGCGATGGGCGCGGCCGGGGCGCGGGCGTCCCAGATCTTGACAGTACCGTCGGCTGACGACGACATAAAGCAGCGGCCAGAGAGCGACCAGGCAGCCTTGTTGACGGTGTCCGAGTGACCAGTGAACGATGAGACAATGCGGCCGGTCGAGAGGTCGTGGACATGCAGCGCTTGCCGCACCGTCGAGGTGACGGCAAAGGCGCCGTCAGGCGAGATGTCGACCGAGGTGACAGCTACCGGCTCGGCGCCGAGCTCGGTCGAGACGGCCCACTGGGCCACCGGCCCAGTCGTGTCGTTGACGTCGGTCTGTTCCACAGCCTGCGGCCGCCAGACACAAACCGAGCCGTCTTTGGACGACGTGAGCAGGGTCCGCGAGTTGGGTGCCCAAGCGGCTGAGTACACATCGTCAGAGTGTCCGCGGAGGAGGGTGGACGATGGGCGCTCGACGCCAGAGCCCGAGGCCAGCGCCGGGGCCCAGAGGGTGACATCGGCGGCGCCCTCGCCGCCAATGGCCAACCACTCCGAGTTGGGCGCCCAGGCGAGGGTGCGGACAAAGGTGACTGCGGCCGGCGTGACAACCGCAAACGGTTCGGGCGTCGCGTCGCCACCGGCATGAGTTGCCATCAGCGCCGCCGTTGCATACACCCGGACTGCGTTCGAGCCAGTGGCCACATAGCTTCCCTGCCCGGGCGTGACCGCCAGCGCTGAGCACACCACCGGACACGGGAGCTTGACGTGCTCGACAAGGCCCGACGGCGAGGTCTCAAACAACGGGCCGATGCCCGCGGATGACGTCACACGCGCGCCGAGGCCACGGCTCCGTTTGGCCGGGCGCTGCTCGTTGTCGTCGTTGTTGCCGAGGGCCGCACCACCGACGCTGCCGCCTTGTGGAGCCGGAGCCGGGCACGACGGAGAGCCTGCTGCCGACGGTACGACGTCCATGTCGACAGGCGACGACGAGCTAACGTCATCACCGGAAGTCCGGCTTGCGGCCGGAGCAATTTGCTTCACCAGCGGTGGCAGGGTGCGCTGGTCGTCCGGCGCCGTGGCGGACGCGGGTGCCTTTGCTGGCTTTGGACGGGCGGGAAGTTTGGCAGCGGGCGGCGGGCGCGGGGTAAACAAGGTCGACTTTGCGGTGACTCCGGGCGCCCACGAGGCGCGGCGGCGGGCGCGAGCCGTATCTGAACCTGCTGCGGTAAAATACTGCGGCGGGCGGAGGGTGTGGTTGGACTTGCGCGAGCGGGAGGTCTTCTGCGGGGCACCACGGAGCTCGTTGCCGACCATGCCAGCCACTGTGCGGGTCGACGGCTGGGAAGCTAGCTCCGCCTTTGCAGCACCGAGCGAGGAGGAGGAGGAGGAGGAGGAGGACGGCTCAGCCGAGCTGCCAGCAGGATGGAGAGCAGAAGCAGCGGGCGGGAGCGGGTTGTGGACGAGCATGGGTAGCAAGTGCTCCATGTCAAAGGCTGCGGCAAGCGAAGGACGGGCATGGTCGAGGCGGCGGACACCAGGCCGACCACCAGCAAGAACCACCAAGTCGTGAAGCCGCTGGACCTCGGCCGCATACACCTCCCGAAGCATATACACTTCTGCAGACAGTGCCCGCGCCATGTCGCGCATGTCCTCACCCATCACGTCAGATCACTGGGATGAGGTGGTGGGAGACGGGTGGAGAGAGGGGTAGGAGGGGGGAGGTGGCAGCGCAAATTGCATTGTGTCGAAACTGGCAAGTTGATGGCGACAACGACAGCGACGACGAGCTACTGCTCCGCACCGTTGTCCACTTCGCCGCCTCAAATAGCGGCGCCTGTCCGGATCGGGGCTCATCATTGACGGCCGCACCTCGCGGCGGTTTTGACATGAGCGTCATCTCGTCCTGGCTCTCGTTTGACGTAGCCTCGTGGTGGGCGGGCAAGAGCGGAACGACAGGCAACCCTTGATGGTACGGTCCTTGGAACTGGCGCGTACAACTCGATCATACTTGACTTCCAGGTCACCGGCCGACGCTGCGTGACGCATGCTTGGCCTACGGCTTGAGGTGGGAGGCGCGCCCGCTCCTGATGGCGGCCGACACGTAGACGCCCGCCTGAACGATGCCCGAGTTGCCGTCGCGGTGACAGACGCCTGGGAGCATGGGCGATGCGCGCGAGGTGCCGAACGGCGCCGATCCGGAGGAGCGGCGGGCGCGGACGGTGCGGACGGTGCGGAGCTTGTTGTTGATGCCCCCGACGATCGGGAAGTTGAGCATGACAGAGTTGAACACAGCGGCGGGACGGGAGAGCGCGAGGACGTCTTGCGACGGACGAGCTTGCCGGTCGGCGTGGCCGCGCAAGTGGTGGTACGCCATCTTGTACTGGGTTCTGGACGCCGCGTACGCGCTCTACGCTGACGCAAGCCCATGCCCCACCATGACTCGCGTGACTTTTCTAAACGATATCATCCACGCCCTCGTCGCCAGCGCCGACGCCGTCAACTCTGCGTCGTCGCGCAAGCGGAAGCGCACCTCTGCAGCGGCTGCTCGTCATCACCACTTTGCCCAACAAGCCGCTCTGCGACGCGACTGCCTCGCCTTCCGGAAGCTTCATGGTAAGCGATCGCGGCCGCGGACCATTTGCGCCACATGCGGCGTCCATCTCTGCATGGTCGACTGTTTTCTGTTGTGGTCCACCAGTGGCCACAAGAGCCATTAACACACTGTACTACTCTTCCACTGCGATTGATGGGCGTTGCGACGTCTGTGGAGCGTCGCGGAGCGCGGCTTGCGCGATGGACGAATGTCCGTTTCGTACCGTAAAGGGATAAGCAGGCGGGCATGGTTTGCGGGGAGGAGAGGGGGGGGGGCGAGATGATGCAGAGGGATTATTGTTGTTGTGCGGTGTGCGGTGTGCAGTGGTGAGGAGAGGGGCGGATAGTGTGGATGTAGGGTCAGCGTTGTAGTCGATGGGGCGGTAAAGGGCGAGGCGAATCGAGGGCGAGACGGTCAAGGGTGAGGCGGTAGGCAGCGTGCGCTGATGCCAGTGGCACAGTCTACATGTAGTGGTGGTCGATGCACTCGACTGCCACTTACTCGACTGCGATGCGGTGAATGGCGGCAAAGGGGCCAAAACCGTCGAGGATGGTGATGCGGACGGCCGTGGCCCAAGCCGGGAGCGATGAAAGGTCAAAGACCTCCATCTGGATCTCGCGCAAAGAATCGAGCGTCCGGACCGCAACCTCTACAGGCTCACGCGCAGTGTCGGTCACAGCCACGCCCTCAACCGCAACCTCGCGCACGCCCGAGCACCAGACGCGGACAAAAGCCGGCGCTGCGACATCATCGGGAAAGGGCACAGCCACCGCGTGCGGATAGAGCCCCGTGGTAGTCCACGCCGACGACAGATCGCTGTCACAACAAGCCAGCTGAGTGAGTCGTGCCCATTCCCCCCCCTCCCCGCCCCCCCCCTCCCTCTCCCCTGCCCACCTTGCCCATGCCCGAGCCCGAGCCCGAGCCCGAGCTCAAACCCTTGCCCACACCCTTGCCCACACGCACGTCCACGCTCTCATACCCAGCCCCGGAACATACGCCCAGCCCCACCCACCCAACAACCATGACCTTCCCCCCTCCCCCCCCCCCACCCCCCACCACACACACACACAACGTACGCAGACAACACATTACTAACCGGATTGTTCTCATCGGTGGCAGTCGCCATCACCACCGTGGTCATAGCCAAGTGCAGTGCAGACGACAGAGTCAAGTGTAGAAAGGTAGGTAGTAGGCAGGTTGCTTGTCCCTTGTCCCAGGTGATTTATGGCGCGTTCAGCCGTGTCCACCGCGGCCCCGCCGCCGTCGTCGCCTGCGGTGCGGTTGAGTGTCAGCGGCTATGCCGTTGCCGCGCGCAAAGTCTGCGGTGTCCATACCGGATAACTCGGTGGCAAGCTCGGTGGCGGTGGGACGATCGGCGAGCTCGGCCGCCCAGCACCGCTGGATGAGCGAGCGCAGCGCAACCGACGGGACATCGGTCGGCTCAATCGGCGGCCGCGAGCCCGACTGAATGCGGACACAGACTTCGAGCGCGTTGGAGCCCCAGAAGGCTTTGCGGCCCGAGACGAGCTCAAACAGGATCGAGCCAAAGACAAAGATGTCACCGCCAGGCGTCGACGCCTGGCCACCGAGCGCTTCGGGCGACATGTACGGGACCGACGGAACCATGGTCATTGTGCCCATATTGGTCTTGATCGACTCGAGGCCAAAGTCAGTGAGATGAATCGATAGGTTGCGCCGCGACCGCCTCACCAGGATGTTCGATGGCCGCAGCGCGCCGTGGCCCTCAGACGTGGTCGCGTGGAGCTCGACCAGCGCCGCAGCGAGGCCGATGACACACTGTTGGACGGTGAGTGAGGAGAGGTCCTGCCGCCGCTTCCGCGGCGGTGGGCTCGATCCTGAACCACTCGCCTCCGCCGGGTGGCCCATGAGGTCTGCGAGCGAGCCGTCGGCAAACCGCGGAAAGACAAGCGCAATGTACGGCCTGTCGACGCAGATCGCCACCGGCCCGACGAGCGAGACCGACGACGCGTGCGCCGCCTGCGCCGCAACCGTCGCAAACACCACAAGCTCTGCCGGCGCAAACACCTGCCGGAGCAGCACCTTGACCTGCACGCCCTTCAGCTTGCCCTTCGGGTTTGTCCATCGTGCAGCCTGGACCCGCGCGTACGAGCCCGTCCGCGTCTGCTGGCCTTGCCCCAGCAACGACTTGACGTCGTCTGGCGTGAGGACTGCCATGATCGGCAGAGCCGGCGAGAGCGGCGCCGCCAGCGAGTTGGGCGTCCGCAGCGACAGCGTTTCCACTGTCAGCTCCTCCGCCGACGACCGCGCGCTTGTCGCAAGAATTCGCGACGAGATAGTGAGCGTCGAGCCTCGCGACGGCTGCCGTGGCGACGGCTGCCGTGGCGGCGCCGCCACACACGCCTGGCTGCTCGACGAAGAGCCGCAGACCGTGGTCGCCTGCCGCGTCGTCGACGAGCTCGACGAGCTCGATGTTGACACTGTTCGCGACACCGACGACAGTGACCCAGAGCCTGAGTCGAGCTTAGACGATGCCTCGCTCTCGCTCTCGCTCTCACTCTCGCTCTCATGCGCATTCGTGCCACCGCTCTTGCAACAGGCATCACTCGATGCTTCCGTCCCAGTCGTTCCGCTCGTTCCGCTCGTTCCGCTTGTTCCACTCGTCTGCGAGCCAGCCGAGGTGGCCACCAGCTTCCTGGGAGGATGCATCTTAGGCCGCGAGCGTGACATCGACGGGACACCCGCCCGTGGTGGCACCGCCTCGGTCGAACGTGCGGCAAAGCCTTCCGAGGTGAGGGCAGGATCCGACATCGAGCCAGACCGTTGCGAGGCCGACTCGGCAGTCGAGATGAAGAGGAGGCCCGAGGCTGTCGCCGACACCGTCTGCGCCCCGCCGCCGAGGCCAGGCGCCAGGTTGTCGACTGGAGGCTCACCCGGTCGTAGCAGCTGGAACAGCGGCGCCATCGTCCGCGCAGTCGCATCCATGCCCGGATGCGAGTCATCGTACGCCTCACCTGTCCCAGAAAACTTACTCATGAGCTCGTGAACACGCGGCGCAGACAGCATGGCCACATCTAAATCCAGTGCAAGTGGGCGGAGCGTCACTCCAGGCTCGTCCGCGAGAAACGCCGCAAGCTGGGTCGTAACAAACACGCCGCCGGGCACAAACGGCGACCAGCCGACAGAGAGCGGCAGACGAGCCGTGCGCGACACATATTCAGCGTTGCGAAACGTGCCAAACAACAGCGACCAATACTGCGAGATGGCCTGCATGACCTGCCCAGACATCGTCTGCTCGCCCACGTCATCGCGGACAGGAACCAGATGTGCCCGTGCCGCGAGCGACGAAATCGGGCCAGACGAACGCTCCACCTCTTTCAGAAGGCGGAACAAGTCGAGTGCCTGCACCGGCCGGTGGAGCGCAATAGTGACCCAGCCCAGGCCCCACTCGAGAATCGCGCCGCCTGCTCGCGCCGCTGCCGCCGGAAGGCCATCATGAAACGCCAGCAGCCGCGCCATGCCCACATGGGCTGACGAAAGCAGCGCATCGAACGCACCACGAAGCTCGCAGTGGACCACCGTGATCACGCCCGGTAGCACGTGTCGGCTCCGCGGGTAAACCACCTGCTCGCTCGAGTACAGTGCGCCAAGTTGCACCACGACTCCGTCGAGCGGCATCCGCTCGCTCGGCTCGTGGACCCAAAGCGAGTTCATCACGCTTTTGAGACTCTCAAACACCAGCGGGACCTCGGAGACGTCTGGGCGCCGGCCCGAGACCACCTCGAGCGCCACCGCAAGCGGATTCTCGCCGAGGTACAAGTCTGCGCGCGTGGCGAGCTCCCAAAGCGTCACACCAAACGAGTAGCCGTCCGACGCCACGGTCAGCGCCTCGCGGCCGTGCACCAGCACCTCGGGAGCGGCCCAGAACAACGAGCCGGCATTGGCACCAGCGCCGCTGTTGGTCCCACCTCCGCTAGGTCCAAACGACTCGGCTGCCACCCTATGCGCCATCGAGAATGAGTTGGGGCCCGAAGTGCATCCGCCTGTCCCACCCGATGTCGCCCCACCGCCACCGGCCGAGAGCGAGCCCATGCCTGAAACCACACCATCGCTACCGAGAGCAGCAGGCAGTTGGTTCTCGAGATGGCTGACGTCGAGCCCGTCGCCACCGCGCCGTGATGGCCGACGGACCGACGGCGCGAGCGGTGAGGCATCGAGCGACGGCTTGAGCGACGACATGCCAAAGTCACAGATCTTGGGCACCCAGTTGGTGTCAAACAGCACGTTGAGAGACTTGAGGTCGCCGTGGACTACGCCAGCATGAGCGAGATACTGCATGCCCTGGGCCATGTTGTGCGCCCACTTGAAGACAATCGACGGGTCGAGGAAGAGTTCAGGCGTGTGGAGCACCTTGTACAGCGAGCCACGCTCCATTAGCTCGGTGACCAGCTGCGGAGGGTCAAGGGTGATGCCCATGAAAATGACCACGTTGGGTGCCGCAGCCGGAGCAGCATGCCTGCCTCCTCCACAAACGCTTTGAGCTGTCCGGAGAGGCTTGAGCTGCTAAAGTCGGAGTCAGTACCCATCCGTGGCGAGACCATGCCATCGCCGACGAGCTTACGCGGCTGCTTGACAGCCACGTTCATAGCCCGCCAGCGCCCACGGTAGACAGTGCCAAACGAGCCAATCCCAATGACTTCCAACACCTGCAGATCCTCGCTGGGGACAATGAGGTCCGGATCCGAGGTAAGCGCGTACACGTGGGCCCGCCGCCGCCGCGCATAAAGCACTGCGCATGCTACCACCGCCATGACAAGCAGCGCCAGTGGCAGCGCCACGCCTACCACCGTCGTGATCTTGATGCTGTCGCCCGGCGAATCGGGCGTCGCCACGTTGCGTACCACTATGTACGCGAGGTTAATCTCGGTCGACGGTCGCAAGCCAAAGGCGACAGCCATTGCCCGCAGCCGGGTCTCGCCTGGTGCACTCAACAAAATTGGCGCCTCGTATGTCGGAGAACCCTGCGTCGGCCGGCTTCCATCTAGCGTGTAGTAAATATCGGCGTCGGCCGTGTAAGAGACGAGTGAGACCGAGATCATGCCCGAAAACGTGCCGCCCGACGGCGTGGCCACAGGTAGCGCTGTCACGCCAAACACTACCGAGAGCCGCAGCGCCTCCATTTGCGGCCATTGTGCCACCGCTAGCGCTTCTGCTTCGTCTCCCGTTGCCGCGTGGTTGAAATCGGTGAGGAACGAACTCCACATAGTGGTCAACTCGGTGAACTTGAACGACCACCGCGAGAGTGGCAGACACGAAGACGACGCGCTCACCATAATGTCGTACAAGACCTGCTCGCGCGGCGACCGTGACCCGAGCGGTGAAGTGACCCAGGGCGAGACGCCCGAGATCATGGTCCCGCTCATGAGCGCCAGAGTCGACGGCTCAAGCGAATACTCCAGAAATGAGACGGCAAGATCGGTGAAGAGGCCGCGGACTGGCACCGCCAGCGAGAGAAATGCAGTTGGTGCGCCATCGCTGGCCAGCGGCGGCATGGCCATTCCCGTGGTCCCATGCTTACCATCATAAACCGGAAACGGAAACGCCACAAAGTCGGGCGGCGGGCGCATCGATTGGTGCATGCCCAGCGCGGCGTCCAGGCCACAGTAGATGAGCGATGCGTTGTTGACAACGTCTACAGCTGACGGCATGACAGGAGCCTCATTGCGGATTAGAGGCGCAAAGTAGCCACGCTTCCGGAGAACAAGCACTTCACGCAGCGTCGCCTGCATCTCTGGCTCGAGCCACGAGACGAGGCCGTTGACCCAGTTGTTGTAAAATTCGTTGCCGTGCATGCGGATGACGAGAAAATCAAAGTAGACAGAGGCTTCAAAATGAGACATGTCCGTAGCGAGGCACGCCATGCCATTGCCAACCACCTGCTCACACAACGCCAGGAGCTCGGTCCACGTTGCGGGCGGTTGCGGGATGCCAAGCGCCTCAAACATCGACGCTCGATACGTGCACGTTGCCACCTCGACAAGCAGTGGGACAGCGTAGCGTGAACCGTCACTGCCGGACAGATTGTCGTCGACAACCGGCGGAACCCGCGATGAGAGCGCGGCCTTCTCCCACACGCTATCAAGTGCAACCATGTGCTCGCCGTTGAGCACCGACTCGCCACGCCGCGGAAACGAGGTCACAACGTCCGGTGACCCGCCCACACCCTCCAGCCACGGCATATACTGCTCGAGCGTCGTCGGCGCCGGGAAGGCAAAGTAGTCGACCACTACCGTCGCGTTGGGCCTAGTGTTGAAGGCGTTGGTGAGCGCCATCAGCGACCGATCCGGCGACGAGTTGACCGGATAAAGTCCATACATCCGAAGATGCGGATCAGGCACTCCGTTACGGCCCGAGAGACCACCTGGAAAGCCGCCAGGAGCGGGTGGCGGCGGCGGCGGCAGTGGCGGCGGCGGATTGGGTGGAGGCGGCGGCGGCGGCGAGCAAGTGACGGGGCGGCAAACGCCAAACAGACGACAACCACGAGCGCCAAGACGACGTCAAGGCGCCAACGACTATGAATGTACCTGCCACACACGTGCTTGTCGAAGCACGCCGTCGCTTCGGTTCTTCTCGCCACGGAACCGAGTACGCAGGCCGTAGCGGATTCGGCAGGACGAGGGCCCATCTCGCCTGACGTGCGGCAACCTTTGTTCCAAGCTCCCATAAACGACATTGGATGGTGTGTCGAGGGCAGGACCCCGAGGCTCTGGGGATGAGCGGCCTCGCCACGGTCCATGCGTACAAAGACCGACAAGGTCAATGCAGCGAGAGAGTTACCGTTGGCTAGGTGGAATACCAAGGCCCGAGCGGGCTATTTCCCACTGCTCTGTGGCAACACCAATCAGAGCGAGGGCTTGAAAAAATGGGGTAAATTGGCTGCCCACTCCCGATTGGCGGCGGCATTTGCCCAATTCGGCAAGAGGCGCGCTTATCTACGAGGTTTCGCCTCCCGAGCCAGCTGGCGTGCACGGCATGCTCAACCACACGAGGTTGCCAACTTTTATCACGGCAGTGCGGGGCCCTGAACAACGGCCTCGACAGCGTCGTCGTCGTCGTCATCGGCGCCCGCAGTGAGATCGAGGTCGGTAGAGGCAGCGTCGCCAGCAGGCGAGTCGGCCGGGGTCGTTGCGACCGACGCGTCGCGGAAGGCAATGGCCTGCTCCAGCTCGGGAAAGGCGGCGACAAACGAGGGACGGACGTCGTCGCTGCGAAGGTAGTCGCGGAACGATGCGTGTTTGTCGATCATGCCGAGGAAGGCAGTAGCGGAGACAAGCTCGTCGTGGACAGTCTGCGAGATGAGAGCGATGCGGCAAATGAGCGCGACGATAAAGGTCTTGGCGCGGGCGAGCTTGAGGTTCTTGATGAGGAGGGCGAGGAGGCCAGTGGCAACCTTGGTTGCTCGCGATGTCGCAAGCTCGTCGTCGATGCCCAACAGGGCCTCGAGAGCGGCGGCAAACGAGGACTGCGGCGCGGTGTCAAAGTACGCGTTGACACCCGACGAGATGCCGAGCAGGAGCCGGTCCGAGAGCAGCTCGTTCGACGGGCACCACCGCGCGATGAGCGCGGCGACAAGGTCAGAATATGCCGGCACGCCCGACACCGCAGTCACAAATGCTTTTTCAAACAGCTTCTCGACGTCGGCCTCGCTCAGCTCGACCGACGCAATGTCGTCGGCGGTGGCAAGGAGGACAATGAGCTCCACCAGCGGGAGCTGGGCCGGCGCCGCGTCGCTCTCGCTCTTTGACCCCATCACCGGCGTCTTCCACGCCATGTACAGCTGGCACAACTCCTTGACGGCACCGATGCCGACCAGCGACGACCGTGCCGCCGGCCCAGACTCGGCGTATGCCTTGAGCACCCGGACGAGCGCCCCGGTGGTCTTGGGCGATCGGTAAGCTGCAAGACGCAGGACCTTGACCACTCGCGAGCCAAACTCCTCGACAAGCGGCGGCTTAGTGGCGGCAGCCTCGTCATCGGCGGCGGCCGGCGGCGCGGCGGCAGCGACGGCAGCCTCGTCGGCAGCCACCCGCGCCATAACCGCAATGACCAGGTCCGAAGCCGCGTCTCGGACGTCTGGCAGGGGGCACTTGACGAGCACATTGCGCAGCCAGTCACACAGGACCGAAGCCAGCTGCTTCAGCATCCACGCGCAAGCCTCGGATGCGAGCTCCGGCTCCGAGTCGAGGAGGAGCGTCTGCAGGTAGCGCATACGCTCGGCCATGTCGTCGATGCCGGCGCAGTGGCAGAGGAGGTCAAACATGAGCGACGTTCCGAGCTCGACGGTGGCCATCGACGGCGGCGCAGCCTTGAACACATCCCACATAAAGGCCAACGACGGGGCGCCGAGCAGCCGACGGCGCTGGGCACGCTTGATGGCGTCGTGCCAGAGCTTGGCCAGAATAACCGGGTCGTGCGAGACCGGCGACGGCGGCGGGAGTGGGACTGAGTCGTACACCCGTGCCGCGAACCGCTCCTTGCGCTCGTAGAAGAGCATGTAGCCTGAGAACGACTTGGAGTGGGTCGACATGCCCGAGTACGCGCCGCCAAAGGCCTTGTCGGCGAGATCGTCCTTGGCAAACGGCGAGACACGCCGGTCGTTAAACTCGTACCACGGCGCGATCGACGGCTCGCCGTCGCGCTCGCGAATGTACGAAAAGTAGTGCCCAGCATTGGCCGTGCCCGAGTGGATGATCACGCCTGCCAACTGGTACTCGTAGTACGAGTCGGGACGGATCTCATCGTCGTTGACCGGGAGACCCTCGGCGAGCGCGAGACCCTCACGGGTGTACGGCTTCATGTTGAGCGTCTCTGGGAACTCGAAGCGGTCGTTGACCTTGACGTTCTGGAAGGTCTCAAAAGAAAACTCAAACCGGCAGAGGTGCAGTGCAAGCGTGTTGGGCAGGTGCTGGATGACGCACCGCTTGTTGGCGGCCACCTTGGCGTCGCACTTTTCGCAGTGGTACTTGTTGTCGCCGTCGAGCATGTCACCCTGGACCAGAAACTCGAGGCCTTCCTGCAAGTTCCGCTTGCCCTGCACCTTGACCGAGATGGTGAGGTACTCCTCGGGCCGCTCCGAGATGTGCTCGCACTCCTTCGACACAATCTGGTTCATGTACGTCCCGCCAAACACGTCGCGGAAAACGTGCTCTTGCGGCGTGCCCTTGAGGTGCGGCTCGAGCTGGTCGACCAACCCGTTGAGGAACTCGTTGGCATCCTCCTGCTGTCCGAGCCGGATGAAATCGCCGTTCATCTTCACCGTCCGGCAGAACCCGATGGTATCGACGTAGCTCTCCTTCGACTCTTGCATGTGCGCAAAGAGGAGCTGGAGCTGGAACATGATGTTCTTGGCCTGCTCATCGTCCGACGCCTCGCCAGGCAATGGCACATTGAGCACCGCGTCGCGGAGCTCACGGATGAGGAACATCTGCTGCAGCGACGCGTTCATGTAGCAGGTGCAGCCCTGGTTCTTGAGCCCACGGTACTTGCACACGCTCCGCTCGCTCCGTCCGCTCCCGCGCCCATATCCAGTCAACGCATCGGCCGCTGCCGTGGTTCCGGTCGGATTTGCCGGATCCACGTTCCACTCTTCGCCGGTCGGCAGCGCCGCGCTCTTGAGGTGGCTCAGTAGCTTGGCCACCATCGTCGCCGTCTTGTCGCTTGCGAGCGTAAGCGTGACGAGCGCCCCAAAGGCAGGCGCCCGCGCCTGCGGCGACTTGCACAGCGGGAGCGCCGGCTCGTCGCGGCTCTCTGGCTCGCCAAACAGCGCCACGTCAAAGAGGAACGGCTCGAGCCGCAGCTTGCCGGCCGCCTTGCGGCACGCCTCGTGCTTCTCCAGAAAGAGCGCAAGCAGCCGGAGCTCACCACCGAGGAGCGTGTCCTCAACCTCGCCGTCGTCGTCTTCCAAGATCGGCGCCTCGAGCACCCTCCGCGCCACAGCCTCAAACAGTGCCAGCGGCGGCGTCGCCACCTGTGCCTCAAGCGCCACAACCACGTCAAAGAACTGGGTGAGGTCCGGCATCGGCGTGCTCGCACGCAGCGCCCCGAGCTCAGTCAGCTCGGCCTCGAGAAGCGTCCGCAGCTCCGCACCCGCCGGTGTGGCGCCAAGGCCAAGGAGCCCATCGCGGACTCCAGACCGCACCCCGGCGTCGGCAGAGCCCACAAGCGTGGCGCGAAGCCAGTCAGCAAAGCTCGAGCCGTCGCGCGCGTACTCGAGCACGCTGCGGACAAGGTCTGCCGACGAGCTAACAGATGCAAACAGCATCTCGATGAGTGACTTGGACGTCGAGCCGGCAACGCCTTCAAGCAGCGCCGCAGGCACCACACACTCGGCATCCGCGGATGCTGCGTGGCTCGCGGCCGCCGCAATGGCAAGTTCGGGCTCGCACGGCTCAGTCGAGTCAACCTCGGGCTCAGGCTTGCCGCTAGCTAGCGGCTCCGGCTCCGCCGCGGCGGCTGCTGCCGCCAGCGGCTCAGCACCGACCTGTTGCATCGCCCGCGGGTCCGAAGTGAGCTCGGAAATCCACTCATACTTGGACGCCTTGTTTGTCGTCCACGCCCCGAGGCCCATGCTCGGCACCGACGACGGAACCGGATAGTTGGTCTTGCCCAGCAGCACACCGCCGCCAGAGCCGTAGACTCCGCGCCACCGGCCCTGAGTTGACGAGTCAATGGCAGCGAGCGTCGGAAACGCGAGGTCGGCGCCAGCTGGAGGCTCGCTATCGCCGGGGCTAAGCGGGTCGAGGAGAAAGGCCGAGAAAGTCCAGTTCGGCCCTCCGGTGTCGACGACAGCGATTCGGATGTTGAACGCGCCCTTGCCGTACACATTCCACACCACCCACTGCCCGTTGTGAAACTGCGGGCCCGAGAGGATGACCGCGGCCTCGTGCTCGACGCCCTCTTCCTTGGGCGGCGCACCGAGCGAGTGGTCGTCGCCGAGATACGCGGTGAGCGACTGGATGCGGCGGTTGGTGTTGTAGTCGACGCAGTAGACGGCAACCTGGTACGGGCCCTCGGCCTCGACCTCAAACCGCAGCACCTTAGGCGTGGCGGCGTAGTGGCAGTTGGCAATGAGCGTTCCGCGCGACGACGACGGCGGCTTTGGCCGCGACATGACTAGCGAGGTCGAAATCGCCCCGCCAGGCTGCGGCGCCGCGAGCTCGGCGACCTGCGACATGAGGTTGTGGATAAAGGCAGTGTCAAGCGACGCCGCAAGCGCACCAGCCGACATTAGGCCAGGCGCGTTGAAGATGGCGTTGATGAGTGTTGCAAGGAGCGAAGCCGCTCGCTTGCCGTACACGTGCGCTGGGTTGCTCGTATCAAGCACCTCCTTAGTGGTAAAGACACCAATGAGGTACTCGAGCCCGCCGTGGGCCACAAACGCCTCGGCCCACCCGGGGACGGCCAGGGCGGCCTTGATCATCCGTGCCACGTAAAAGACGTGAAAGGTAAACGGACCCGGCTCCTTGGCCGGGTCGTACGGCGTCACCGCCAGCTCAAGGCCGGCCTCGTTGGTGGGGAGTCCGTAGACTGCGCTCGCGAGCTTAGGCTCGTCCGGCAACAGTAGCAGCAGCTCCCACACGCCGTCCATGAGCGCCGGCTCGGCAAGGAGGCCAAAGAGTGTGTCGAAAGCGCTCGTGACGAGCCGTCCACCGGGCGAGGACCGGTCAAGCGCCTGCAGCGCACCCTTGGCCCTTGTCGCCACCACCAGCTCCTTCAGCAGCCAAATCATGCGCGGGCCCGAGAGCTGGCAGCCCTTGGCCAGCTCGGCGAGGATGGCGTCGGTGGCCCGCGCACGAGCGGTTCGCGCCGCACCGGCCGGCACCACGTCGTCGACGTTGACATAGACGTCGCGAAGAATAAAGAGCGCTTCGGTAGCAACCTCGGCGTCGGCGTTGATCGCCGCCACCTGCCACACAAACGACTCGCCCTCAATGCCGGCAAAGGCCAGCGTCCGAGTCATGATGTCCGAGATCTTGCGGAGCGTACCAGCGCGAGCGTTGACGTCGCGAAAGTACGCCGCATACAGTCGCATCGACGGCGCGTCGACGTCGGCCGGCGCGAGCGAAGCAATGCGCGAGGTGAAGAGCTCGGCCTTGACAGCGTCGGGCAGCGCAGTGTACGACCGCTCCTTGGTGTACGGATCCACAAGCGTCGTCGCAAACGACATCGAGTAGAACCAGTCAATGACCTCGGCCGACGCGCCAAGCGCCACTCCGGCGTCCCACAGCGAGTTGGCAAGCTCAGTCTCAAGCTCCAGCGGCGACGAGGTGAGGACCGAGTCGAGGAGCGCAAGAATGCACGAGAGATCGTCTCGGGCGGCCGGGCTCCCGCTCGCAACATGGCCGACAAGCACCGCCAACAGCGAGTGCTGGTCGTTGAGCTCGACCAGAGCTTCGGCGAGCGAGGTCGGCGTGTACGAGTCCAGGATCGACGAGAGCAGCGCAACCGAAGTTGCCACAATGGTTCCGCTCGCAAGGTTGGCCACGCACTTTTCCACAAACGCCTCGCGGTGCGCCGGGAACTCGCCCAGCAGCCGCTGCAGGTAGTTACAGGTCTCGCGGACGACAGCGTCGGACGAGGCGGTGAGCAAAATGTTCCAGAACAGCTCGAGCCCATATGTCGACGCCGGCTGGCGCACACCCGCTCCCGATGACGCGCCCGGCGCATCGCCGGTATCGCCGCCGTCGCCGTCGTCTCCGTCTTCGGCCTTGGCCACAGCCTTGAGGGTAAAGTCCGACACAAAGTTGAGGACCTGGTTGTCGAACCGCTCTGGCTCGAGCGCCTGGATGTGCGAGTAAATGTAGTCGACCTGGACAGTCGGGAGGACATCGATGAGGGCAAGGAAGACCTCAAAGATCTTGGCCTGGATCGACTCGTGGCCGGTAAGGACGGTCGACCACATCGAGTCGAGAACGTCGTTCGAGAGCACGTCGTGCTCGGCGATAAACTGGAGGATGTGCGAGCCGCCCTTGACTACCTCGGGATGGCCGGCCTTAAGCACCCGCTCCATCAGACTCTGGTCGTCCATCCACCGAAGGAGGAACGGAATGGTGATGAGGGTCGGCGGCGCAATCGGCCCCTTTTCTCCTCCCGACGACGAGCTGCCCGAGCTCGCCGACGCGCCACCGCGGCTGCGCGCCAGCGCTGCTGCCGCCACCGCCGCAGCCGGTGACGTGTACGCCGCCGGATAGTACGACACCATGTTACCGCGGCGCTTTGGCTTTTTGAATGCCGCGTTCTCGTCCTTGTCTCCAGCAGCAACAGCCATGAGATGCCGCAAGTAGCCCATGCCCTTGAGTGACGGCGCAAGGAACGGGAGCTCGATGTAGGTCAGCGCGAGATCCAGCTTGGCCTGCTGCAGCGCCTGGTTGAGTGCCGCCACTTCGGCGTCACGCGAGATCTTGCTCATCTTGGCCAGCAGGTTGAGGCATTCAGAGAGGTCTTCGAGATCCTGAGTCTTGGCCTCGTCGGCCGTGAGGCTACCGAGGTAGCGGAGCACGGCGCTAGTCAGGTGCGGAAGATACGAGGTGAGAAAGGCTGGGACGAGGTCATCCTCGACAGCCTTGGCAAACCGCACAAACAAAAGGAGCGTCGTCGACTCGAGCCGCTCGCCGCACGCCACACGCTCGACAATGGCGTCAAAGAGACCGCGCTCACCGAGCTGCGAAATGACCCGCGCAAAGTAGACCGAGTCGTCTGGGTCCGTCGAGTCGATGTACGCATACTGGGTCGACGACCCGGTGGTGAGGAAGAACTTGGCTCGTTCCTCCGGCGACACGTCCTCATCCGACTCGACTCCGTGCTTGGTATAAAAGTCCATCGAGGCAGTGACCAGCGGCTCCAGCGACCGCAGAAACGCGTCGCTGTGCTTCCGCGAACGAATCGCATCCACAACTGCGTCAATGACCTGCCCCACAAACTCGAGCATCGCCTCGATGTGCGCCGCCGCCATGTACTCGCGGTCCAGAAGCGAGGTCATGATCAGCGGGAGAATCGTCTCGGTCACGTACTCGGCAAATACCTTCTTGTCCTTGGCCGCTGCCTTGGCCGCCTTGACCGCCGCATCGTCCATCTCCTCGCCCGCCTTTTCGCCCTCGCCATCATCCTTGCCCGCCATCGTCGCCAGCGCCACCTCCATATGCTCGGTCATCCGCGCCAGATGCGGCCTCGGATCCGACTTGTCCACACTCAGCGCCGCATCCAAGCCTGCAAAGTACTTGCGCAGGTACTTCTTATCGCCTGCCTTGGCGGTCTCAAACTCCACCACCTCCATCGAACTGGCTGCAGGCGGCAGTGGAACACCCGCCCCAAAGCCGACCCGCCCCCCCCCCCCCCCCCGGCGAAGCCCACGCCCACCCCCCGTACCCACACCCATCAACGCCCAAAGCCCATACCGACGCCCACGGCCAAACATGACAACCACAAACAATGAGTGTGACCCGCCTAAAAGCGCTACCCCCCTCCTGCCCTATGCCCCCATGCCCCCCCCCCCCCTTCCCTTCGCGAGCCTTCCAGGGGAAAGAAAAATGCGTGTCACCAACCCCACCTCCCCCCACGCCCACCGAAACACAGCAGCCCCGCATAGCGGGGTTGGGGTTGGGAGGGGAGGGGGAGGGGGGGAGAGAGAGGCTGCACAGGAACCACCTACTCCCTAACCACCATAGCCACACTAGCCATCCCCTTTATCCCCTCTCCATTTCTCCTGACTCCCATACCTGCTTGCGAGTTGTGTGGTCGTCTTCCAAGCCTCCCTCACCGCAAGCCTTCAGCCACACACGTTGGAAGGAAGGAAAGCCGTGCCACCACAGCCACCGATGGTTCACGTTGAAGTGATCCTCCCCCCTCCCTGACCTGCCACCCAACTACCTCACTACGCCACACTCTCCACACAGCCTACACACACATACACATGGCCGAACAAGCGGCTACAGAAGACTGTGAAGCACAGCCGGTGCCCACACACAACTGTTCACTTCCGGGCGTTGAGGCTATAGGTCTCGACCCGGTGCCTGTCGTTGAGTATGCCTCGCAGCTGGTGGTCACCACCGACGGCCCGACCACCGCCGCCACCACTTGGGTCGCCACCTCACCTGACGGTGTTGTCAACGGCTTCAATCTTGTCATGGCAGTCGTTGCCGACAGCGATGGTGCTCCCGTCCCGTGCCGCAGGGACGCTGCACTGGCGCTGATGGCTGCGCTCGCCTTTTGGGCGCGTCGCCCTCAATGGCTGCTCTCCACGCTGGGGAGGGCTCAGTGGTGGCGCTCGATGAGCTGCTCGTCTGGCCTCAAGGCGCGCTGGGACGAACCGAAACAGTAGCGGCTCTCGGAGATTTTGCTGCGATGGCGCTGACGCTCCCAGAGCCGATTCCCGGCACGCTGCTGCCCTCGACCGGGCGGACACTGCAGGCTGTCCCCCTTGATGCTGCCGAGCTTGCGTCTGCCCGTGCTGTCGGCATGCTTCGTCCCTTGCTCAGCCGGGGCGAGCGCGTTGGTCACTATCCGTACCCGCCGTGGTTTGATCTTCGCAGTGCGAGCAGTCCCGCACCAGCCTCTGCACCCGTCGACGATGCTGCGGCCGCCACGCAAGACCTTCCGCTCGCGGTCGTGATCCCATCGCTTCGGGTCCGGGTGGATGAGCCCTCGGGAACTGGCACCGTCTTGGTTCCACACGACGCGCTCGACACCATCGAAGATGCTGTCCGGGCCGGCGGCATGTTCGACCCGATCGTCCTTGCCGGCTGCTTTGACTACGAGGCCGGTGGACACGCCACGCCTGGTGGCCGGTTCGAGCCCGAGCCTGAGGCTGTTCGCGGCCTCGCCACAGCCCATCTCTGTGGCGCCAGCTACGTGACGTTCCGCTCTGGTGCTTCCGCCGATGCGATCGCCCTCCAAGGCGACGGCCTCGTCGTCGACCTCTCTATGGGCTCATGGATGGTCCTTACCTCGGTCCTTGCCTCGGGCAACCCGCTCCACATCCAGGCCGACGACGCTGACCCTGCAGCTCTCCACACTCTCCACATTGAGTATGTCGAGCGCAAGGTCCTTCGCGACCGTGCGCCTGGCTTCCAGGAGCCCACTGACCCTGATGCCGACCCTGATGCCGACCCCGATGCCGACCTTGATGCTGAATCTGATGCCTGTGCCGGTCCCAGCGCAAGCTCGAGCTGACCACCACCATCACCATCACCTAAAGCTCTCGATTCCACGCCGTGCCCGCCTTTGCAGCAACCAGCGACCAAGCAACCGCCGCTCGGCCAACTTGCTCGCTTGCGCCACCCACACCGACCGCCGGCCGCACCCACACCCACCCATAGCCACACCTCACTGGAGTACACCTTCTCACCCCCCACCACCCCAGCTCACTCCCCTCGACACCTACTCAGTCATGGGCTCCGGACGTGGAGCAGGGGCAGGCGGAGCAGCAGGCGGCGGGACGGGCAACGGCGCTGGGCTGTACTTTGACCTTCCGTCGAGCGAGAAGACCACGCGGCAGAGGTTCTTTGGTCGGCGGATGGTGTTCTTCTTCCTCACTGTCGTCAATCTGCTGACATACTACGACCGCGGCGTCATTGCTGCCCTCCTCCTTGACATCGAGAACCACTTTGACCTCGACTCGACACGAGGCGGCCTCCTCGGCTCGGTCTTTATGGTCGGCTTTATGCTCGCCTCGCTCATCTTTGCCAAGTATGTGCACACTGTCCGTCCGACCTATCTCCTCTGCATCGGCCTGCTCATCTGGTGTGGCGCAACAGCGTACTCGGGCCTTGCGCCAAGCTACGTCCAACTGGTCATTGCCCGCTCGCTCACGGGCGTGGGCGAGGCCTCGTTCTGCGGCATCTCGCCTACCATGATCGACGACATTGCCCCGCCCAAGCAGCGGACGGTCTGGCTCTCCATCTTCTTTGCAGCCATCCCCATCGGCGCTGGCCTCGGCTACATTGGCTCGGGCGTGATCACCCGCCAGGCCGGCCTCTCCTGGCGCTGGGTCTTCCTCACCGAGTCCATGGCCATGCTCCCGTTTGCGCTCGGCATCCTGCTCCTTCCGTACACCTCGACGTCCAAAGACAAGTCAATTAGGGTCGCCGCGCCCGATGTCGACCCCACCATTGTCTCGCCGTTTGAAGGCTCGCTCAACCCATCCGACGACAGCGCCAGCGCCGGTGCCGCCGCCGAGCGTGCGCCACTACTCGCTGGCGCCGCTCAGACCCGCACCGGCTCGCTCGGCAACCGTAGCGCCGCCGCCGCACACTCTGCTGAGTCTGCGGCCGACGCCGAGTCGACCTTTGCGCAGGACTTTTGGACGGTCTTAACCAACCCGGTCTACGGCTGCATCTGTCTCGCCTACGCTGCGTACACCTTTGTCTTTGGCGGCCTCGCATACTGGGCGCCGACCTTTGTGCAGAAGCGGTTCGACATGTCGCTCGACGATGCCACCTTTGGCCTTGGCACCATCACCGTCGGCTGCGGCCTCGTCGGCACTGCCGCGGGTGGCATCATCGTAGACGCCGTCGCCAAGCGCCGCGGTGGTGTCAAGGGCATGGCCGGCGCCGCGCTGCAGATCAAGTTCACCCTCATTTACGCCCTCCTCGCCGTTCCGCCGCTCTTCTTTGCCTTTTGGGTCAACACCGCCAAGATGTTTTTTGGCCTCCTCGTCATTGCTGAGCTCCTGCTCTTTGCCATCACCGGGCCCATCAACGGTGCCCTTCTCTCGGCCGTCTCCGAGTACTACCGCACACTCGCCATGTCAATGTCCATCATGTGCATCCACCTCCTCGGCGACATGCCGTCACCGGTCATCATTGGCGCCGTCATCTCTGCCACCGGCTCCTACCGTACCTCGATGCTCCTCCTCGTTGCCTGGTACGTGTGGTGCCTTCTCTTCCTTGCCATCGCCCTCACCCTTGCCCACGCCGCCCTCCGCAAGCTCCTCCGCAAAGCCCTTCTTTCACGCCCCACCGGCGCTTGAGGCGATCGCGGGCCGGTAAATACCGCCACCCGAGTGCCATGGCCACCCACTTGTCGTCCTGCTCCACTCTCAGCCATGGCCAACCATCTTGACGTCGGCCCGTCAACACTCTACGACGGCGATAACGCTGCCTTTGTCGCCAGCCTCGACTCTAGCACAGCGACAGAACAGCCTGCCGCCGTCAATGTTGCACCGCCAAGCCACTGGGGCGCACCCGAGGCCGCTGTCGTCGCCGCTGCCTGCCCCTCGCTCAAGGCGCTCAGGCTCTGGTCAATCTCGGGCATCACCGCACCAGGCATCGCCACGGCAGTCGCTTCTTGGCCAGATCTCATCTCGTTTGTTGCCTACAGCTGCGACTCGTTCTCCGATGATGACGCCGCCGAGCTGGCGCCGCTTGCTCAGCTGGAGGAGCTCAATCTCTACGGTTGCGCTAGTGTCGGGCCCCGTGGGCTCCGAGCGCTGACGCCGCTGCCCTCGCTCACCACGCTCACCCTCGAATATCTGGACCGCATCACCGACGCCGCACTTATCCCGCTCCTTTCAGCTGCGCCTGGCCTCACAAGTCTCAACATCACCCGATGCTCCAAGCTCACCGACGCCGTCTTGCTTGCCCTCGCCGAGCATGCGCCCAGTCTCACTTCCCTCCATGTCGAGCGCGTTCACGGCGTGACTGACGCCGGCCTCGTTGCGCTTGCAGCCGGCTGCCCGCAGCTCACCTCGCTCTGCACCCTCTCGCATGCCATTACTGACGCCGGCGTCGCCGCCCTCGCCGTTCTCCCTCTGGCCAACCTCAACCTCGCTTACTCGGCGGTGTCCGATGCCGGGCTGGCCGCTCTCCTCTCTGGCCCATCGCTCTGTGCATCGGAGCTTGTCGAGATCGGCCTCACTGGTGCCAAGGCGGTCACTGATGCTGGAATCTGTGCCCTCGCATCCCAAGCGCCCCAACTTGCGCGCTTTAACCTCTTCCGGCTGCCTTGCGTCACCGATGCCGGAAACCGCGTGGTCTCGGTTGTCAACGACGCGCCATCTCCGTCGCGAGCCGCTGACATTGCCGCCGCCGTCGCCGCTGCCCAGCCTATCCCTCCTGACACCACACCTGCTTCCACATCCATCTGAAACAAACAACCGCCGTTGTTTCAGATGGATGCGGTCGGACCGTGTCCGTCACATCGCCGCTCGCCAATCCTCTCTCACACACTCTCTCTCGCGCGCGCCTTTCGGCGGTGTGACACACACGCGCGAACACCTGCTCTTCCACACTCGACTCCCCCGCCCTTCTCCCCAGCACTCGCACACTCCACACACTCCACCACCACCACCACCACCACTACCACCACCACGGGTACATCCTCGCCATGTCGGTCTCCAAGTTTGTAGAGCACGAAAAGAGCACGAATCGATTCCTCCGTGAGCTGGCCACCTCGCCGCGACTGGGCGACGTGGTGGAAGTGCTGGCGACCGACCGCGCGACCATGCTCATTGTGCCACAGGGCGTCTCGCTGGAACCACTGCCAACCCCTCTCCCTGTTCAGTTCATCCAGTCGCATGTGGTCTATCTCAACCCGGCCAATCCGTCCCAGTTTGTCTCGCTCAACGGCCTGCCCGGCTCGCTCAACGCGTCGTACTCGGAGCTGCTGACCTTTACCCCTCCACTCTCGGATCCGGACGCCGTCGAGGCCTTTGCCACCGATCCGCGGTCGGTCTTTGCCTGGCCGCTGTATGAGACTCCGCTCGAGGTCCTTGCCGATCAGACCGAGATCCTCTCGGTCCAGCTCCTCCGCATCGCCTCAGTCGTCCTCGCCGGCCGCGAAATCGACATTTACATCACGGCCCATCCGCTCGTCTTTGACGGCTGCTCGTGGGCCAAGCACGTGGTTGCGCCCGGAGTTGTGGCAGGTGCCCCAGACGTCCGTACTTCGGCTGTATCATCCCCTCGGACCCACTCTGCGCTTGCCACGTCAGTCGCCAACTTTCTCCGCGACTTTCGCCCGCACAAGCTGGCGGCAGCGGCACTCAAGACGCGTTCAACTCCTGCGAGCGCATCCGTCGCAGCTGCGTCCCCGCCGTCGCCGGATCATGACCCGCTCTCGGCCGCGGGCACCGAGTCGGCATCGGCGTCGTCGGCACTGGGCTCTTCCACGCCGACGAGCCTTGACTTTCAGGCCTTTCTCGCCCAGCTCCAGCACCCGTCGGCCTTTGAGGTCTTCAACACGGTCAAGGCGTTTGTCGGCAACTTTCGTCGGGCGCCGCCGCCGCCGCGACTCATGTCTGAGACGGTACGGTCCTTCCTCGAGTCCACGGCCTCGCTCATGGTTGCGCATCCAATGTGGAGCGAGACTTCGCCGGCCGAATTTGCCAATGCCCGCGAGGGTCTGGAAAAGTACGTCATGACCAAGCTGTACGCCAAGGCGTTCCGCCCCGGAGGCGACACTGACGCCGAACGCGATGCTGCACTCGCTGCACACATCAAAGCCCTTGCTACCTTCCTCCGCCCACACCACCTCGACATCAAGCCAGAGCTCTGCAACGAGTCGGCCATCAAGCTCGCTGCCAATGAGCTCGCCAAGATGTCGCACTACAAGGCGCCACGCGACAAGCTCGTCTGCGTCCTCAACTGCTGTAAGGTCATTTTCAACATCCTTGCCCACGGCTCGTCCACCCCTGCAGGTGCCGACGAGTTTCTTCCGCTCCTCATTTATGTGGTGCTCCGCGCCAACGCCCGCGCCATGCACTCTAACTGCGACTACATCTCGCGCTTCCGCTCGCCTGTCGCGCTCAACGGCGAGTCCGGCTACTACTTTACCAACCTTGTCTCGGCCATCACCTTTCTGGAGAACTGCAAGCCCTCCCAGCTCAACATGACCGCCGAAGAGTTTGACGCCGCCATGGCCGCCGCCCCGGCCCCGAGTCCGTCGTCGGCTCCGCGTTCGCCGCCGCGCCGCCAGCTGCCCGACCCCCTCTCAGCCGCAAACAGCCCAGCCCCGGACACGCCGTCGGTCCCGCTCGTTACCTCACTCATCGACATGGGCGACGCTGCCGACGACGCATCGGCCCACCCGCCGCCGCTCATTCCGTCGTCTCCGCTCTCGGTCCCGTGGGCTCGCCCGCCGCCGCTTGATCTCCAGCCGGGTGACAACCCTCCGCCTGCCGAAACCGATGCCCACCCGCAGGCTGAAGCCGCGCCGTCTGCCAAGGGACCGCGTCTCCGGACCGATGACGAGGGCAACATCATCTTTGCAGTCGACTCGCCGCGGACCAACAAGTTGTTTGACATGCCGTCGCCCACCGCGGGCGCCACCGCTTCACCTGCAATTGCTCCCACCTCCACTGCAACCTCGCCGAGTGCCACCCCGCTGGGAGTAACCAGCCCACCGGGCGAGCTCCGGGCAGCACTTTTGGCGGTGGCGTCGCCCGATGAACTCACCCTCGCCGACGTTCGCTCGCTCTGGGCCGACCACCGCGCGCTTGCCGCCGAGAATCGCAGGCTTAAGGCTGCTCTTCTCGAGGCCCAGCTGCGGGCCATCCAGCCGCGCGAGGAGCTCGCTCCGGCGTCCGACTCGGGTTCGGCGTCATCATGACTCGCGCCGCATGACCACAAAGCCACACCGATGCCAGCTGCCAGCCCACTCCCGAGCCCACTTCCCTCTGCGCATCTCAACTTCGACCTGCGCCTCTGACCTGAGTCGCATACATCCGTCAGCCGTCCCGTCGCGCCCGTCGTGCTCTGGCCCGTCTGGCCACTCGCGGACTTCGCCGGTGGCCACAAAGCCGCGCGACGCGTACCACGCCACCAGCCAGGGCTTGACTGATACAACGCAGATCTCGATGCCGGAACCAGTCTCACTTGCTGCTGCCTCGAGAGTATCCATTACCCGCGATGCGAGTCCCTGGCCTTGCCACTTCACCGCCACCGCTAACAGGCCGACCGAGCGCCAAGCAGTGCCATCGTCCTCGGGCGGGCCCTGCGGACCGATCCAGCCGCAGGCCACGATCGAAGCATCGCCCCCGCCTCCCTCGCGCCAGACATGGGTTTCGCATCCGCTTGTCGCCATCCGGGCCAGCAACTCGTTCACAGAAGTACGCGGGCCGGTGAGGAAGAAGGCATCGGCCTCGGCATAAGCTTCGTTGACCATGGCGCTGAGAGACTCGACGGTACGCTCAACTGCACTCCCTCCGGCGGCCACGGACTCGCCAGACAACAGTACATGAACCAACTCGTCGAGTTGTGACGCGACGGGAGAGCAGTCGGCCATGGGCAGCAAGAGAGGACTGAGAGCTGTGCAGTGAGTGGAGCGGCCAGCTGAAGGGTGAGGTGTTTACAGCTCCACGCTGGCTGCCGGACGCGCGCTGGTCTCGACGGCGGCTGGCGGGGCGTTGGCGATGGGCACGTGGAGCGAGTGCCACCACGAGCCGAGAGTCGGGCCGAGGACGTCGAGCCAGGCCTGTGAGGTCTCGGTTGAGGCCACGGCCTTGGCGGACCAGCGGTCGACAAAGGCCCAGGTATCCGCGTGGTGCGCCGACGGATCGGCGAGCATGTACGTTTGTGACAGAGCGTAGACGCCAGCAACCGCCATCCTCCGCTGGCTCCACTCTGCAACGCTGCGTGCGTGGGTGCGAGCATCGGTGCTGCCGGGCTTCCCATGCCCGTCCGCGCCAGGCACGTGGAGAGGCCAGGCGACTCCACGCGCGATCTCGTCTGCCATGAGCGCGAGCTCGCGCGCTGCAGGTGCCACGTTCTCCGGGACAGCCACCTGCTGAGCAAGCGCAGCCGCCATGACATCGGACGAGAACCGGGCGTGTGGCTCGAGGCGGATGCGGATGGCGGCGGCGAGGCGGCGCTCGGGCGGAGCGTCCGAGTCGATCTCTGCGCGGAGATGGCGGGCAAGGACGACGTTGCATCTCCGAGCAAAGGCATCAAAGAGGTCACCCCCACCGCGGGGGAAAATGGCCTCCAGCGTCGGAGCGTATCCCATCGAGGCCACGCCAGCGCGGACGGCCTCGCGAGTAAAGCCAAGTCTCGGCACAGCCTCCAGCGCGGCGTTGATGATGTCTGTCTTCAGCACCTCGACTGCTGAATCGTGATCGGCCGCCGGCGCCGATGCCCAACGTCTTGATTCCGCAGCCGCAATGCTCGCATCAGCAGACGCAACGGCGGTGGCAGCAGGCGTGGCGCTGATGGCAGGCTTGGTGACGGCTGGCGCGAGTCGACAGCGCGGCAGGGCGCATAGCCGCGTCAGTCTCCCCGTGGCCACAGCGAGCATAGGTTATGGAGGAAGAGAGTGAGGTGAGTGAAATGGTGGTGGTGGTGGTGGTGGGCGAAGGTGGCCGTGAGAGAGGGAGGAAGACGGGCGGGAAGGTGGTCGTCGTGGAGGGCGGTGATGATCCCGTCAGCAACCCGACATAGACAGACGGCCTCCCCCCCCCCCCCCCCCCGCCACTCACCCCGCCACCTCCTCCCGCCCGCCCAGCCAACACCCACTGATCACACTCGGTGGCTTCTCTGGTCCGATGTACAGTAGCTTATTTTTTAAGATCAGAACGCCACATAGTCCTGGTGGGCTTTGGCTATAGGCGGCATCATGGCCTTGATGTCGATGGATGTCATCGCAATTGATGTTGGCCATGTGGTGTTTGATTGGTGGCCGTCTTGCCTGGGGGAGCTCTGGGCTCACGTGGTGCCACGTCCTCCACTCACCCACTTGCTCCCGCAGCTACGGACCAGCCACGACGACCACAACCACAGCACGACCCCGGCCACCACTACAACCATTACTCCACTCCACTCTAGCACACGCGCATAGCCCATACCACTCCACACACTGTATCTGTTTCTGTTCTCTCTATGCTGCATCTCCGTAATGTGCTCCAGCTGACTCGGGGCTACGCCGCGCCCGTCCGTGGTCTGGCTGCCGCTGTGGCGGCCAGGTCGACCGTCTCAGAGCTGAGGGCCAAGCTGGTCGAGTCGGAGAGAAAGATGGCGTCGCTAAAGCATGCGATGGCGCTGCATCCGGATCCGGCGCGGAAGCGGGTGGCAGTCCTCGGCGCAGGGCGGTCGTCCGGCCCACTCATCCGCTACCTGTTGGAGCGGGCCGAGGACGAGCGGTGGTCCGTCCTGGTCGCCGACGCCAACGTCAAGCTGGCGGCGAGCAAGGCCGGCGATCACCCTGCGGCTGCGGCGGTGGAACTCGACGTGGCCAACAAGGACGGCTTGACTGCGATTCTGGACACTGCAGACGTGGTGGTCTCGATGCTGCCTGCGTCAATGCACGCACCGGTGATCGAGATGGCCATCGGGTTGGGCAAGCCGGTGGTGACGGCGTCGTATGCCACGCCCGATGTGCGCCAGCATGACGCGGCGGCAAAGGCGGCAGGTGTGCCGATTGTCATGGAGTGCGGCGTCGACCCAGGCATCGACCACATGTCCGCCAAGGCGCTCATCGACGGCATCCGCGACGCAGGCGGCGACGTCCGCGAGTTCCGGTCGTACACTGGCGGCCTGGTGGCGCCCGAGTCGACCACGGACAACCCTTGGAAGTACAAGCTCTCGTGGAATCCACGAAACGTGGTTCTGGCCGGGCGCGGCGTCTCGACGTACCTGCAGGCAGGCGTGGTCAAGTTTATTCCGTACAACAAGCTCTTCTCGCGGGCCAAGAACGTGGTTTTCCCCGACGGCACTACCTTTGAGGCGTACGCCAACCGCGACTCGCTGCAGTACATCGACGCATACGACCTGGCCTCGGCGTCGACCGTGCTCCGCGGCACGCTCCGCTGGCCGGGCTTTTGTGAGGCCTGGGATGTCTTTGTCCAGCTTGGCCTAACTGACGACTCGTTTGCCATGGAGGATGCCGACCGCATGACCTATGCAGAGTTCCTCGCTTCGTTCCTCCCGTGGCGCCAGTCAGACTCGGTTGAGCTGCTCCTGGCGTACCAGCTGCAGCAGCCGATGTTCTCGGCAGTGATGGACAAGATCCGCTGGCTGGGCCTCTTCTCCGACCGCCGCATCAATGCCAAGGGCTCGCCTGCCCGCATTCTCGAACTCCTGCTGCAGCACAAGTGGCGCCTTCGTCCCGGCGATCGCGACCTGATCGGCATGCTGCACAAGATCGCGTACGTCGACGCCAACGGCGAGGCTCGCGAGAAGATCTCCGCCCTCAAGATCAAGGGCTCGGCTACCGACCCGGACATGACCGCCATGGCTACCACCGTCTCGCTCCCAGTCGCAATTATGACCAAGCGCATTCTCAACGGCGAGACTTTTGGCCCGGGTGTCGTCATCCCCACCGAGCGCAACATCTACAAGCCCATCCTCGCCGAGCTCGCCGACGACTTTGGCATCTCGTTCGAAGACTCGGACATTCCGCTCGTCGGCGGCATCCACTCGGATCACTTTCCCACCCTCGTCTCGCAGCCGGAGCCATCCGCTGCCATCGAGGGCTCTCTCTAGCCTGAAATGAATTGTAGTCCCGCCCACGGGAGGTCTTCTACCCGCCCACGGGAGGTCGTCTCCAAGCCGAAGCCTGAAACTGCCCAACCCCTACCCAACCGCAACCGCACCACTCACCCCCACACACACACAAGTTGGGACCAACATGTCCGCACGTCCCTCGCTGGTGGAGCACCTCGCCGATGCGCTCGAGTCGCCGTTTGTTGCCCGTATGCACAGGACGGACGAAGTCCGGGTGCGAGGGTGGGCCGCGCGGGTGGTTGATGGCCTCGCGGCACCCAAAGCCATGATCAGGCGATGGGCTGAGCGCCATGGGAAGCTGCTACTTGCTCACATCGCTCGTGGCTATCTCCCACCACCGTACTCGCGCCCGCCGCCAAGGCTGCTCCCGCGCATCGATCTGGCTACCTTTCGTGCGGCCCTGCCGCGATCGCCACAAGTATCCCGATCTAGCACTGCCGGCAATGGCTCGTCCGCCCCGCTTCGGGCAGCAACGACTGCAGCGCGCCATCACAACTGTATGTATCCGCCTGGTCCGGTCGACGCTGCTGCAGAAGACGAATTCCAGGTCGAAGTCGTCGATGGTGAGTTTGCCATCGCAGACGGTGCAGCTGTAGACCGCTCGTCGACGGCGTATGCTGCTGTAGTCGACATAGATGACCCCAGTTTAAGCTAAGGACGACGCTTACGGCCGCGGCCGCCGCGATGCTTCCGCTTGCTCGACTGGTTGTAGCTAGTACGGGGGCTTCTGCGGCCACGCCCGCGACCGCGAACGCGATCACGACCGCGCCCACGCTGCGACCCTGGCGCTGGTGCCGACGCCGGAGATGCAGCACTTGCTGGTGACGGCTCGGGCGACGCAAAGCCGAGGCCCTGGCGATCGTTCTTGAGAAAAACCGGAACCGGCTCAAGAAGGCCATTGGCGACCTGTGACGAGCCTAGCTGGCCGCCGTCCCAGCCCAGGCTACGCAGCATGCGGTGGCCGATGTTGGACGGGGGAATGGGGGTGGTGACCATGACACGCGAGGCAAGCCGAGGATTGCGACGACCGCGGCTCAGCTTGCGGCCACGCGGCGTCGACTCTCTGCTCTGGCTGCCGCCGCTGCCGTCGTTGTTGTCGTCGCCGCTTGCGTAGGTATCGAAGAGCGCACGCCGCTTGGCCGGGGTCACCGGCGTTGTCCGCACCGTTCGCGAGAGCCAGAGCAAGCTGCGCTTGCCGGAGCCCTTTGTGGTGACACGGACTTGGCAGGCTTTGGCGATGTGGTTGACGCACCGACGCTCCTGGTGCGACATGGCGCCGAGGACGGTCTGCTCCTCGCTGGATCGCGCAAAGGCGTCGAGTGCCTTGAACAAGTCCTGGAACGACTGGCGCGAGCGCCGGCCCTTGATAATGGGACGGCGGCTGCGCGACGGCTCGTCACATGCAACTGTGACTTCTCGCACAACGTCTGGCGTTTGTGCCGGTGCCGGTGCCGGTGCTGGTGTTTGTGCAGCCGCGGGCTCGACAACCGGGCCCTCGCCAGCCAGGATCCACTCCAGCCCGAGGTAGTCTTGCGGCGCGAGGAACTCGCCGAACCGCCAGCGGTGCCTCCGGGCGGCCGCGCCCGAGACACCGCCTGCTCCGGCTCGGGCGGCGCCTGCAGAAGTCTCGGCAAAGCCAAGTCCGCGACGTAACCGCGGGCCCTCACGTTCGAGTTCCATCATCGACAGCTTCTCCAGCTGAAGCCTCGTCGCTTCGAGCTTGGTCTGGCGCTCGTCGCCAACCGGCTCGCTCCCACTCCCGGCCCCGCTCTCGGTCCCGCAAACGTGATCGCTAGCCGACATTGCCGCCGGCGACGCCTCGTCCGACGCCTCGTCCGACGCCTCGCCCGACGCCTCGCCCGCAGCCTCCCCCGTAGCCTCGCCCGTAGCCTCGCCCGACGACAGCGATGCCGTTGGCGACGGGAGAAACGACCCTGTGTTGGCCACGACGTCGTTAAATGTGGCCGAGGACATCGAGCACGAGTTGGTGTTGAGGCAAGAACAGGTGGTCGTCGACAAGGTCGGCGAGGACCCCGACTCTGATCCTGATTCCTCCTCCGATCCCAGCCCCGACTCGGCCATGGCGGCGAGCATGCGGCCATTGTCAGCGTCCGCATGCCGATACCCGCCGTGCCCACGGCCAGCGCCGCGCCCTCTCCCCCTCCCTCTTCCCTTCCCTCTTCCTCGCCCGGGTCCCCTCGGTGCACGATCCTCGCCACTCTTACGGCAATAGACTTGCGGCGAGGAGTACGATCCCGCGTTGAGAGCATCGTAGCCCGCAAAGCGGATGACGGACGGAGATGGAGCCGGCTTGCCTCTGCGTGGCTTGGACGACCGCTTGCCGCTGCCACAGCCATTGCCATTGCGGGAAGGTCCGCGCGAAGCCGCTCGCGAGCTTCTGCGACCTGTCTTACGTGCCTTGTTGTGCTTGCCACGGCCACGCCCGCGCCCCTGGCGCTGTTCCAAGTCCACGCCACGCGGCCGCGGCGGCCATCTGCGAGAGCTTCTATTGGGCTCCTTGGCGGAGCGGCGGGCCGAGGCGTCGTGCGCAAAGGCAGCGTTGAAGAGGGCATCCATACAAGGATCATCAAAGGAGCCGTCAGATGTGATGCTTGTGCGTCGGGCATGCCGGGGCTTGCCTGGCTTTGTCTTGGCTGGTCCGCTCGGCTTGCTGTGTGGCATGCCGCCGTGGCTCGCCAGTGACGCTTGGAGCAGGGCAAAGACGTCGTCGTCGCGGGCAGCGTCGGCAAGCGCCCCAGACCGGGCCTGAGCAGCGGCCTTGGCTGCTTCGGCACGTCGTGCCTGTCGCTTTGACTGTGGCTTTGCTCGCCGATGTCGTCGAGACCTGCGTGCCATTTACAAGATGGGTGTGTAGGGACGGGTGAGGGAGGGGGCGGTAGCGGTGGCGGTGGAGACTCACTCGGCGACAGTCACCCAGGCGCGATGACACAGGCCGGGCTGTGCAGCTTCCGAACATCCTTAGCACGCACAGTTGGCGCCGCACGTGCACGAATCGCCGCACGTGCACGTCGCCGAGCCGCATCCAGCAGTCTTGGTCTTCTTGGCGCAGCACGAGCAGTTGGCGCCGCAAGTGCACGAGTCACCGCAGGCGCACCCGTTCTTGCAGCACGCCGCCTTGATCTCCTTGGGGCAGCACGAGCAGTTGGCGCCGCAAGTGCAGGAATCGCCGCAGGCGCACCCGTTCTTGCAGCACGCCGCATTGATCTCCTTGGGGCAGCATGAGCAGTTGGCGCCGCAAGTGCAAGAATCGCCGCAGGCGCACCCGTTCTTGCAGCACGCCGCCTTGATCTCCTTGGCGCAGCACGAGCAGTTGGCGCCGCAAGTGCAGGAATCGCCGCAGGCGCACCCGTTCTTGCAGCAGGCGGCGCGGGTCGGGGTGGCGCAGGCACAGGTGGCGACGTTGTAGCGGCACTTTGAGCAGATGGCCGAGGTCGGCGAGCAGGTGCAGTCACCGCCGCCACAGGCCGGGCAGGTCGATGCGACGAGCGAGGGCAGGACAAAGGTCGGGCCAACAAACCCGCCATAGCCGCCGGGATAGCCGCCCGCGACGCCACGACCAAAGCCTCCGCCGAGGAACGGGCCAGAAGCCACCACAGCTGGCGGCGGTGGACCACGGGCAAACGACGGAGGCGGGCCGTAGGCGTACGGCGGCGGTGGCGCAACAAAGGTCGACGGTGGGCAGGACGGGAAGGGACCGTGGCTGTGCGAGTAAGGCATCGGGCCAGCGTGAATCGGAGCCATGGGCGGGCCAGGCATCGGGTATCCGTAGCCAAGGAACGGGTTTCCGGCTGCGGCGTAGGGGCCATGGCTGGGGTAGGCCGGGGGCATACCGGGAGCGAACGGGTTGGTCGGGTACGACATAGTAAAGAAGAGGTGTGCTTGAGTGAAGGAAGACACTGATCTGGATTAGACAGGTGTGGGTAGTCCGCCACACAGTCTGTGTGACACAGAAGGGGGTGGCAAGTGCTCGCGTGGGGCGCTGTGGGTGACTGTTGGCCCCGTCACCGATGTTCGTGACTGTTCCATGGCGCCAAATTGGCCAAAAGTGCGCCAAACACCCACACCCTCCCGGTTCGACCCAAAGCGCCAAAGTCGACGACTTTGTCATCGCGATGGCGATCATGATCGCGATCACGATCACACCCCCCTCACCCCCCCCCCCCCTTCCCCGTCCCCCCCTCGCCACTTCCCCTCACCAGCACTACCACCCCTCTACCCTTCAGCTACGCTTCTCGTTCTCCACCACATACTCATCCATGTCTGCGCTACGATGGCTGTGCATGCTAGCTGCAGCAGGAGCGATTCTCGCACACGTCACGAGTACGCCAGCAGAGCCAGGGGTGGGCACTAGCCATCGTTCTCTCTCTTCCCCTCGCCGCACTCACTCACGCATCTCCTCCCCTTTCCTCTCGCACGGGTGTAGATGCCGCATGTGCCCCGGATGACGAAGAGTGCGAAGAGCGCGAGTCGTGGGGGCTGCTGATCATCCTGGGCTTCCTGTTTGTGGCCATCTGGACGACGTACGGCCTCGTCTCGCGGCACCTGCATTACCTGCCCGAGTCGATCGCGGTCATTATCTTTGGCGCCATCATCGGCATCATCATCCGCCTCTCATCGTCATCCAATGACATTGTCAACTTTGAGCCCGACACGTTCTTCCTCTTCCTCCTTCCGCCCATCATCTTCGAGTCGGGCTACTCGCTGCACAAGGGCAACTTCTTCCGCAACATCGGCTCCATCCTCACCTTTGCCATTGCCGGCACCCTCATCTCCACTCTCCTCTTTGGACTCTTTCTCTTTATGCTTGGCTACATCGGCTGGGTCTACTACCTCCCGCTCTCGGATGCGCTCGTCTACGGCGCGCTCATCTCGGCGGTCGACCCGGTCGCCACCCTCGCCGTCTTCCAGGCGCTCGACGTCGATCCGACGCTCTCCATGCTCGTCTTTGGCGAGTCTGTCCTCAACGACGCCGTCGCCATTGTGCTCTACCACTCGATCCTCGACATGGTCCAGCCCGACGCCGCGTTTACGCTCTGGACGGCCATGGGCGCCATGGCCCGCTTTCTCTTTGTCTCGCTCGGCTCGGTCACCATCGGCGTCGGCGTCGCCCTCGTCTCGGCCGTCCTCTTCAAGTACACGGACATTCGCCGCTACCAGTCGCTCGAGCTCTCGCTTGTCTTTGTCTTTTGCTGGCTCCCGTACCTCATGGCCGAGGGTCTCCGTCTCTCAGGCATCATGGCCATTCTCTTTGCCGGCATTGTCATGGCGCACTACACCTACTTTAACCTCTCGCCTACCACACAGATCACCACACAGAAGGTCTTCCGCGCTGTCGCCTGGCTGGCGGAGACGTGCATCTTTGGCTACCTCGGCATCGCCGTCTTCTCCTTTGACCACTACCTCCACTTTGGCCTCATCTTCTGGTCCATTGTCCTCATCCTCGTCGGCCGCGCCGCCAACATCTTCCCGCTCTCCTCGTTAGTCAACGCCCGCCGCGCCATCCAGATCACGCCCAAACATCAGGTCATTATGTGGTTTTCCGGCCTCCGCGGCGCCATCGCCTTTGCGCTGGCTCTCAAGCTCCCGCTCGCCTCACGCACCATCCTCGTCACCACCACCCTCGTCATTGTTCTTTTCACCATTCTTGTCCTCGGCGGTGGCACCCTGCCGCTTCTCAAGCTCATGCGCATGCAGACCACCGGCGGCTATGTCTCTATGTCCAAGACTGAGGAGCTCGACCCGACCGTCTCCATCAACGACGCCGAGGAGGACGCGTCAGCCAACTCGGCCTCGTCGCCGCACCGCTCGCGAACTATCCACGCCGAACCCGGCAGCCTTGACCTCTCACGCTCGTGGTTTGAGCGTATCGACGACAAATACCTCAAGCCATTCTTCCGCGACATTTACTCGCGCCGAGCCGCCCGCCAGGCCCAGATCGAGCTTGAGGAAATGACCCAGACCTGGTACTCGAACCTCAAGGACACGCTCGCGCCCACAGACGCCGCAGACGGCCACCTCGCCGCTTTCTCTGCCTACTCGCTTACCGACGATGAAGCCGATGACGACCTCGAGCCTGTCGACTCGGACATCGCCGCTCTCCTCCCCTCGGCCCGCCACTCGTCGACTGCCGGCGGTGTCGGCCGCGGCCCATCGTCCGACGCCCTGTGAGTATCCTACTCGCGCTCGCTCGCCTCGATCGACGGCGGCGGCTTTTCCCGCAGCAGCATGTTGTCCAGCGCCATCGCTGTGACCGAGTCGGGCTGCGCTGCAATGATGGTCCGGAACTGCGCCTCGCGCTTGGCCTTGGCCGCCCGCCGCCGCCGCGCCATCCGCCGCGTCGTCGCAAACGCCTCCTCGATTCCGATCCGCTCGTTCTCTGCATCGCGAAGAGCAGTCAGCCGCGCCACTACCCCCGGCGACGAGAGCAGCAGCGCTCCGTCGGCCCCGACCTCGGCGTCCGGCACAAGCACCCGCACGTTGATTGTGTCGTACATGCCGTCGTCCGGGAACGTGATGAGCGAGTCAACTGAGAGCCGAGAATACTCGTAGTCGGTCGCGTCGTGTGCGGGCTTACTCGCACCCGCCTCCCTCGCAGCTTCGGCCCGTGACATGCGGGTCCGCGGCGAGTCCAGTGAAATCACAGAGTGACGCCGCTGCTTGAACGCTAGCAGCTGCTTGCCGCTGCCGCGCATGGACGGAGACCCGGGGCTCTTGCTCAGCGACGAGCTAGCCGGCACGACTTTGGTCGACCGCGATCCGCGCCGCAGCCGCGGCCCCGACCGCGGCGGCGTGCCAGCTTGCCCACCTGCCCGCGACCCGCTTGCGCTTGCGCCGCCTTTCTTCACCTGCCGCCCGCCTGGGCTGCTGGTGCTTGCGCTTGGCCCGCGCCGACTCATCACCGTCCGCTGGTTGACAACCAGCGACGACGACTGCGGCGTCGCCCGCCGCGAGACCGCCGAAGCTGCCAACCGGGTCAGTGCCCCCTTTCGCGCCTTGACTGACTGCATGGGCGTCGACTCGCTGCTCTCGCCGTCGCTCCACTTTGGCCGGAGAGAGATCGATCGTCCCATCTGCGGATCATGGTGAATGTTGCTGACCACTGGTGTGAGCGCAAAGAGCGAGCCGCGCCGTTCGGTTGCCCGCGACCGCACAGCCCCGCCGGCCGCAGGCGTCTTCGCCTCCACCGTCTCCGCCTCCACCGTCTCCGCCTCCACCGTCGTAGCCGCCCGCTCTGCAGCCTGCTCAGCGCGGGCTTCGGCAAAACGAGCCGCAGCCGAGATCGAGTTCTTCACCTGCTTCTCCCGACTCTCAGCTTCTTCCCGCGCACGGGCGGCTTCAGCCAGCCGCTTGCGCGCCCGCTTCGACGCCGCTCGAGCCGCCGCCATCGGGTCAACCGACGCAATCGATGCAACTCGCCGCTGCATATTGCGCTTACGCCGCTCTCCGGGTTCCAACATCTCGTCACCGCTCTGTCTTTTCCCGCGCTTAGAGCTCAGCAGCCTTGTGTGCGCGCCTCCATGCCGCCGGCCGCTCCCGCGCCCACGTCCGCGCCCGCGCCCGCGCCCGCTCCCGCGCCCACGCCCGTCTCCACGGCCTCGCAGCCGCTCGCCCGAATACCGATCAAACGAAGGCGTGTCGTCTGCACCCCCGCCGCCGCCGCCGGCAGTCCCACCGTCAGCCTCGCTGCCCTGCCCGTGCGCTGGCAGATCGACTCGATGGCGGCGCTGCTTGGTCAACTCAGTCTCAAGAACATCAACCAGCGCATCTAATGCGTCCCGACGAGGAATCCGCTTCTTCGCCGTCGCACTCTGTGCTTCTAGCTCTGCCAACCGCTTGCTCCTCGCCCGATCTCGCAACGCCTTGAACTGCTCCGAGAACAACGTCGCCGCCCACCCGTCCTTCTTCCGATTCCGCCTCACCGCTTCCAGCGCCCGCATCCACAGCCGCTTTCCCTATCCAACACCATGCCGAGCCAGATCCGCTCCCGTTAGTCCCTTTCCCCCCCTCCCGCACCCCGTTCCTCACCCGTCCACTCCCTCCACCACGCGTACCCGGGTCATAGACGGGTCCAACACCACTCTGCTCCCGGTCACCGCCTGGATGACCGAGGAGGCCTCGGCTGTAAAGTTCTGCATGACGACCCACGCCCTAGGGGCCTTCTTCCCCTGCAAGCAACGGTGTTCGAGTCAAAGACAAGTCTTGTCTCTGCCTTTATCTCTGTCTCTGTCGCCTGGTCGCGGCCGTGAGTGCGAGGCCGAGAGTGCGGCGCGATGAAGAGGCCACTCCCTCCCACAAAAGAGTGGCGTCATCGAAGGCAAATTGACGCCATCTTGACGGTTCATGCCACCGCCATGGATGGATGGCTTTGGAACACAGGTTTTGCACTGTGCAAGTCTCGCAAGAACTGGAACCGCAAGGCTGACGTACGGCGGATCCAGGTGCTGTGTGCGAGGTTCCGCTTGTGGGGCCAGGGGATCCTTCTTCCATCGGCCTCCGCTGCCAGCGTCGAACGGCTCAACTCGGTGGCGACAGACATGATGACGAGGAAGCGGAACCGCCTCTCGGCTCTGCGCGCCGAGAAGATGATGCTCCTGCGTGCATGGATGCTTTTCGACTTTGAGCTGACGAAGAAACTGTAGTGACGATACGCATCAGCTGTTAGTCATTTAGTCAGTCATTAGAATCAGTTAGTTAGTCACAGTAAGCCGTTCCGTTCACTGTTTGCACACTGGGGAATCGTTTACTCACGGCATCATGGCATCACCTCATCTACTACCCTTGCCTATCGCATCTTCTTGCAGTCTCCATGTACTGGTACCAGACTGCCTTGGCGGCTGGTGACCACGATGATGATGGCAAGGCCGCTGGAGTCGTGCACTAGCATAATCGATCGCTTACCCATGGCTACGCCTGATCATGTCTTGCCAACTATCATCATCACCATCGGCCGATCGCGAGGCGCGGCCATTGGACTGGACGCAGCTCCGCGGCTCGGGGTCGAACACTCGCCTGATCGATCGCCCCTTGATCAGACACAGGCCTGACCTTGACCTGTCTTGTCGACGCCACACACACACTCTCTCTCTCTCTCTCGCTCACTCACTCACTTTCCCTCCCCTCCCTCTGGTATGCCTCGGCCTTGCTCAATGGGTGTGGTGGTGGTACTGGTGGTGGCACTGGTGGTGGCTGTGCTCTCTGCGCGCCCGGTGGTGGCGGTGGGCGTATCGGCAAACGTGGCGCTTCCGCTGGAGAACCCGGTCCTCAGGCTGCTGACGTACGGCTTTGCGCGCGGTGGACTCGCCGAGGTCAGGTACACTACCGATGTGCAGGCGACGCAAATGCCGCGGCCTCTCATGGTTGCTCTCTTTGATGCGCATCAGTGGGCGCGCGTCCGCCCCGCCACCCTCTGCGACGCTCTCGAAGCTGCCCACAACATGTCCACCATCGCTCCGCTCCCGCCGGCTACCGCCGTCGATGCCTCGGCTCTAGACGGACTCGCTGCCGCGGCGTGGGCCGTACCCCCGGCCGGTCACGCTGCATGGGATGTTTCGTTCACCGGAGAAGGCGTGCTGGCGTTGGTCGAGTGCCCCGATGGCGATGCTGATGGCGACGTGGCGGACCGCGCCGCCAATGACGCGGTGGCGTCTTGGATCAACACTCGGACTCGCGCAGTCAACCCGGGCGGTCGCGAGCTCGACACCGAGACGTGGCCGCTGCCGATGGTGTACAGCGGTTTTCTGCTGGTGTGGACGATTGGGTATGGGGCATGGCTTGGGGCCACTGTCCGGCGAATTGCTGCCATCCGCGCACGCGCCAGTGGCCCGCCCAGCTGGTGGCGGGTGTGTCTGGCGCTGCCATGGATGGTGGGAATGGTGGCAACACTCGGTCTGCTCAAGATTGTCTCGCTTCTGGCGTACACTGTGTACTGGACTCGGTACGAAAATGCCGGCGAGCGGCCGCCGCTAGGCTACTCTGTGGCGGCCTTTGCGAGCGCGGTCATCTTTTACACTGGCCTCTGCTTTGTGCTTGGCCTCGCTTCACAGGGCTGGTCGATCCTGATGCTCCAGCTCCCGCTGCAGCGCGCGCTTGTTGTTCTCGCTGTCACGGGCTTTGCCTGGTTCGGCCTTATTGTGGCGAACATGCTCGGTGCGTCGTTTACAGTGGTCAAAGTCATTGCGTACGTAACCATCGCGCGGCTCTCGTTTGCCACCGTCCGTGAGACCGCGGTGGCGCTATCCAGTGCGCTGTTTGAGGGACAAGCGCTCTTTGCGCATCACGAGAATGCTGAGCAAGCCATCGCCGCCTGGGTTGCGCCGCTCCAGGCCAAGTACGCCATGATTCGCGAGTTCAATGCCAAGGTCACGATTCTCGCCTTTGGTCAGCTGCTGGTCCTCATGACCTCTGCCATCCTCCGGCCCTCGCTCTTTGAGATTGTCGCTCTGGACGAGGCTGTCACCGTGGGCGTTCTGGGCTACATGGCCTACCTCTTCCGCGTCGGTGACCTTGACTACGAGGTGATTGGATCGGAACGGAGCCGGACCGGCAGCGAGAGCCGAACAGAGCCCGGCTCGCGGTCAGACCCGCGCCCGTACCAGCCGGGCATCACGCCTGTCCAGGTAGTGTATCCAGGACCCGCGCCCAAGTGGGCGCTCGGAGTGCCGATGATGAGAGTCGAGGATTGAGCATGTGTGTTATACATCGCTGACCTCCGTCACTGCCGCGGCTGAGCCTTAGGACGCGACGTCCGCAGCGTCATCGTGTCGTACATGGAGGCGACGTCCTCTGAGACTGACGGGAGAACATGCTCAAAGGCAGCCTCAAAGTGGCGGGTGCCGACCTGGACGACCTCATGGGCGTCGCTCGGCTGATCGAGCTTGGACTTGGCAGCGGCGTCCATGCGCTGGAAGCACTCGCGAAGAGCAAAGGTGGCGGCTTGGCGGACAAGCGCGGCGAGGTCTGCACCGGAGAATCCATCGCACCGCGAGTCGAGGGCGATGGCGCGCAAGTCGACGGCGTCAGGCTCGAGCGGCGTCTTGCGGGCCAGCGTCTCGAGAATGGCGACGCGGTCGTTGGGCTCGGGAAGCGGGACGTAGACGAGCTTCTCAAGGCGACCCGGACGCATGATGGCGGCATCGATGATGTCAGGCCGGTTCGTCGCGCCGATGATGTACACTTGCCCGCGCGCCGACGTGCCGTCCATCTCGGTCAAGAGCTGGTTGACCAGCCGCTGGCCCGACTGGTTCGACTGGCCATCGCGGCGCGGGCAGAGCGCGTCGAGCTCGTCAAAGAAGATGACACATGGCGCCGAAGCGCGACCGCGCTGGAAGACCTGCCGCACTGCGCGCTCCGATTCACCCACGTACTTGTTGAGCAGCTCGGGGCCCTTGATCGAAATGAACGAGGCATTGGATGACGACGCGATGGCCTTTGCCAGCAGCGTCTTGCCGCATCCGGGCGGGCCGTAGAGCAGGACGCCGGCCGGATGCGAGAGGCCCATTTGCTCGTGCAGCTGCGGATAGCGGATGGGGTTGACAATGGCATCGTTGAGCTGCTCGCGTACATTGTCCAGCGCCCCAACGTCGTCCCACGATACGTCGGGCACCGTGGCAAAGCCTTCGCGCTTCGCCGACGGCTGGACCACCTTGAGTGCCTCCTCAAAGTCAGTCATGGTGATGGCGAGGCTCGAGAGCTCGTCCTCGCTCAACGGCTCGACGCGGGCCTCAAGTGCTTCAACCAGCGCCTTGTTCTTGGCCATCCGCTCCTCGCGGGCACGCGCCTTGGTGTCAACCACAACAACGGTCTTGGCGCCCGAGCTTGTGGCTTCGCTTGACGGCGCCGCCTCGGTCTCCATCGGCGCGGCCGTGTCCATCGGCGCCACCCCACTCAAGTTACCTGCCGCTCCTCCCGACGCCGAGAGAAACAGCTCTTCAAAGGCGCGATTGATGGCGAGGGAGGCCGCCTCCTTGCAGAGAGTGGCCAGGTCGGCGCCGACGTAGCCCGGCGTCTGCCGCGCAAGCGCCGGAAAGTCGACGTCCGGTGCAAGGGTGAGCTTGCGGGTGAGGACACCGATGATGGAGAGCCGTGCAGCCTCGGTCGGGATGCCAAGCGCGATTTCGCGATCGAACCGGCCGCCGCGCCGCAGCGCCGGATCGATGGCGTGTGGCCGGTTGGTCGCTGCAATGACCACAACCGGCTTACCGCCGGTCCGCTCCAGTGAAAGGTCATCCATGCTCGTCAGCAGCTGAGCCACAATCCGGCGCTCCATGTCACGCGATGTAGACGCCCGCGCAGGCGCGATGGCGTCGATCTCGTCCATAAACACAATCGACGGCGCGTTGAGCACCGCCGCGTCAAACAACTGCCGCAGCTTGGCCTCCGAGTCACCCGAGAACGAGGTCACAATCTCCGGCGCAGAAATGCGCAGAAACGGGACGCCCAGCTCGGCCGCCAGCGAGTTGGCCAGCAGCGTCTTACCCGAGCCCGGCGGGCCGTGCAGCAGGATGCCACGGGTCGGGCCGGTTCCCAGCGCCGCGTACACTTCTGGGTGCCGGATAGCCGTCGCCAATGCCAGCCTCAGCTCGACCACTGCCGAATCGAGGCCGCCTACATCAGCAAACGTAGCCGATGGCTCGACCAAGAACGAGGCCGGCGAGCCATCGCCAGCACCGCCAGGCAGACCACGGGCCCGCTTCTCGCCGCTCTCACCGGCCTCGTCCTCGGGCGCGGCGCTCTTCTTGCGACGCTTACGCTTACGCGACGGCTGTGCCGGAGCAGACAAGTTGGACTCGCCACTTGCCGGCCCAGATGCGAGTGAAGCCGCGGACGGAGCTGGCGATGCCGGTGCCGAAGCCGAGCCAGCACGGTAGAGCGAGGCCATGGAGCCGTTGAGGCCAGTGACTGGCGGCGGAGTAGCAGCCGGCGGAGGCGATGACGGATCGGGAGCGGGCGGATCGGTAGGCATGGGAACAGGTTCATCCAGCGCACGTGCAACGACATCGAGTCCCCGGATGACCAGAGCACGAAGCGGTCCGCGTTGGACCCGGGCATAGTCGCGAGGGAAGGTGGCCTGGAGGTAGTCGGACGCCGCAGCCGGGTCGAGGTAGGCCGGCCGGGGCGTCCCGAGCATCTCCACCCACTTACGCAGCCGCGGCACGAGAGCCCGGTCGGCAATTGGCTTGCTCCTGCCCATGGTTGGGGGGGGGGGGGGGGGGGGGGGAGGGGAGGTTGATTAGTTGTACTGCTCTTTGTGGAGCTCGGCAAGACGACGACGCTCCTGCTCGAGCTTCTGCTCCATCTCGAGTACGGCCTGCCGCTGCTCGATGAGGCGGGCCTGTGATGTGGTGCGGGTAAAGGTGCCTGGGCCGATGGTGTTGGAGGGGCTCGACGCCGCGGCTGCCACGGCCCGCTCGCTGTGAGCCAACTGGGTGATGGCAGCCAGTGCGGCCTTCAGCTCCTTGCATGCCTTCTTGAGCTTGCCAATTGCTTTGGATTCCGGGGCGGCCTTGGTGTTGGCAGCATGAAGGACGTGTGCAGAGCCAGCCGAGACCTGCTTGGCGAGAGCGAGAACTCGGGCAGAGGCCGGAGCCTCGGCGGCAACAGCGGCAGAGCAGAGGTCAGAGACCGCAGACGCCACCTCGTGAGCTGCCGAGACCAGGCCACGGTTCCAGGCCGAACCGCTGTGGTAGGCGAAGACCGAAGGCCGCGCAGCCTCGGCGTCCTCGAGCTCCTTCTGCATCTCTGCCGCGTGGGTGACCAGACGCTTGGCGGCGGCGCCAACGTCGAGCGACTCGTCGACCAGGTGCGCGTCGGCCGACCTTGCCCGGCCCTCCTCGGCGACGTGCAGCGCGGCCTCGACAAGTTCTGCTGCCTCATCGAGCTCGTGCTGCAGCTCTTCTTCATCAGTCGAGTCGGTGTCGGACGACGACGTTGAGTCTTCAAAGTCCTCGGCAGCTATGATCAGCTTGTCAGTCTTCTTCGAGAACTTGCCTAGCGCGGCGAGCACGCTCTGCATCTGCTCATCCACCTCTTCGCCATCGGCGGCGGCGCTGACGAGCTCTTCGAGCGCAAAGATGGCCCGGTGCGCAGCCTTGCGCTCGCCCTTGGCGGCCGACGCCGACATCCACTCCGGCCGCGGCGCGGCATTCGACGTTGGAGCCGCTAGCTCGGTCGCGAGCGCGAGCGCAAACTTACGCACAACATCGATAGCCGCGTGGAGCTCGTCAGAAAACTCGACCGTCTGCGCTAGCGTCGGCACCGCGCTCACCACTGCTCGGCTCATCTCGCGGATCTGCAGCAGTGCTGTCAGAGTCAGCGGTTTCGCCTCAGCTGCCCCATGCGAGCTCTCCTGCGCCAGCTCCAGCTGGACAGCACGGAGCAAGCCCACGATGCCACACCACAGCGTCCGGACAAGCGCCATAGCCCGTGTCGTCTCGTCGGCAGCCGCAAGCGAGTGCAACGCCTCCGCCAGCGAGCTGGCGGCGTCCAGCAAATCGTGCTGCGCAATCGGATCCACAAGCATCGTCGCCAGATCCGCGAGCTTCAGTCCCAGCGCCTCACCCGCCGCCACCGTTCCCGAGCCCGAGAGTCCTGAGAGCGCGTCAGCAGCCCCGGCAATGGTAAACGTGTCCTCAGACTTGCTCACCTGCACCAGCGTGTTGTTCGCTACTGCAGCCAGCCGCTCAGCCACGAGTGCTTTGAGCTTGTCAACCGGCTCGATGGCAGCTGCCTCGGCCGCCGCTGCTGCCTCGGCCGCCGCTGCTGCCTCAGCCTCGGCCTCAGCCGCCGCCGCCGCCGCTGCTACTGCCTCAGCCTCAGCCGCCGCCGCTGCTGCTGCCTCAGCCTCAGCCTCAGCCTCAGCCTCAGCTGCCGCCGCTGCTACTGCCTCAGCCTCAGCCTCAGCTGCCGCCGCTGCTACTGCCTCAACCTCAACTGCCGCCGCTGCTGCTGCTGCCTCGGCCACTGCCTCAGCTGTTGCTGCTGCCTCAGCCTCAGCCTCAGCCTCAACCTCAGCTGTTGCTGCTGCCTCGGCCTCGGCTGCTGCCTTGGTCACAGCCTTGACGGCGTCAATGTAGCTCGAAATGCCAGAAGATATGCCCTTGGTCGTCGAGACAATGTTGGAAGCAACAGTTGCTGAGAACGGGCTCGAACTGTCAGCCGGCGCGTCGCGGACTGCGGCGAGGACTTCTCGAATCACAGTGCCGACATCGTGCGCAAGACTTGTGACTGCGTCAGTGAGCTCGGCGGCCATGAGCGCTGAGTCTTCGCTAAGCTTGGTCATGACGCCGGCAACAATCGCAGATGCACCGAGGACAGCCGACAGCAGCTCAGAGGCAATGTTGAGGACATCAGCCTCGACATCCAGGCCCGACCGCGACTTGGCCATTGCCTTGACGTTCTGCGAGAGCGAGACCGAGAGCGAGGCCAGGTCGCGTGCGACCGCAGGCATGGCCTCCTTGCGGAGGGCGGTAAACGACTTGGACGCCACGCCCATCTCGCGCTCGGGTGCCAAGTCCAGGAACGGCTCGAGCTCGGCATCGTCGGTGCAGCCCGAGCTGAGCACGCCGACCGCGCCGTCAAGCAGCTCGAGCTGAATGGCCAGGCGAGCGACGGCTTCCGAAAGCGCCGGCTGTTCCGTGTCGTCGCCCGGGGGCAGGAGGGCAAGAATAGCCTTGACGTGCCCGCCGATCTTGTTGGTCGAGCCCGCAATGAGCTTGACCTTCCTCCACAGCTCGCGCGAGTCAAACTTGAGACCGACTGACGGGTGGGCAGCAGACTCACCGAGGTAGCCGAGCACAAGGTCGGCGACGGCTTCGACGTGTGAGGTTAGGCTCTTGGCCTCATCCAGCAGCGCCAGCGAAGGGTCGTGTGCCTGGCCGACGGCAGTGCGAGCAAGCATTGCCCCGTGGTCGCTGAGCGCGCTGACAGCATCGGCAACCCGGAAGAGCAGAATCGGCGCTGCCGACGGCGCGAGCTCCATCACAGTCGGAAGGTGTGAGATGACCGGTCCTAGCGCCGCGGTCTCGGCAGCGACGCCGTCGCCCGCGGTGGTTGCAGCGTCGCGGACAGCACTTGTCGCCGTCGCAAGATCGGTCGACGCCAGCTTGAGAGTCACCGAGCACTGCTCCAGATGTGAGAGAGTGGCCGAAAGAGAGCTGCGGATCTCAGGCCCGGCCTCGGTCGAGGCGTCCAGGAGCGAGGTGAGTGTGGCAAGGCCGGCTTCCGAGAGCTGGACCAGCTGGGCCGACTGGTCTTGGAGCGAGGAGACCAGCGCGGCGGCTTCAGGGGTGCCGGCGACGTACGGCAGTCGCTGGGCGGCCTTGATCATGGTTGAGGCGGCCAGAAGGAAGGCACGGGCACGCTCCAGTGGAGTGTGGACCAGCTTGATGTAGCACGCACCGAGCGCGCCGGCGTGGGTGCCCGGCTTGGCAAGAGCCATCAGGGTAGCAGCCGCGCCAGAGGCACCAAACACCGTCTGGCGCTCCATCTCAAGCAGGGCACGGCCGATCTTGGCCAGCCCGAGCGAGATGTCGGTTGCGCCAGAGACGAGCGCACCCGTCACGCTGGGAATGACATTGATGATCTTGGTGTACATGGTGGCAGCCGCGAGCGAGGTGGTGATAAAATCGGCAGTGGCGCCCGGTGGCAGCGCGGCGTCCGAGTTGCCAAACTCATTCTTGAGCGCCAGCGGAAGGAGTGTGAGCCGGCTCGGCGGAGTCTCGGGCGCCGAGGCCGGCAGCTCTGGCGGAACGCCGCCGTCACCGGTAAACTCGGTCAGCTCCTGGAGCGCCTTGGAGACCGAGACCATGGCGGCGGCAACCGAGTTCGGGTTTGCCGTCGCAAGCACGTACGTCACCGCCGTGTTGACTGAGAGCGACGGCGCGGCGAGCTCGGGGTAGCGGTGAGCAAGCCGTGAGGCAGCGTTGGTAACCTGGCCAGCGGCGCTGGCGAGGAGCCGGAACGAGTCTGGTCGGTGGACGAGCGGGGCGGTGAGAAGGGCGGTAGGCAAAAGGAGTGTGTTCGCGAGTGACATGGCCTTGGCGGCTGCCACAAGACCGGCCAGCGCTTGTGGGTCGGCCTGGATCGACGGCGCCACCTGCTTGGCCGCGGCCACCAGCTCGGTGCTCACCTCGGCGGCACGGTGGGCGAGCGCGGATATCTCGGTGATGCGCGACGTCGCCACACCGTGGACGCCGATGGCCGCTGTCATCGTGGTCATGGTCTCGCCAAGAAGGCTGGCCTCGTCAGCCATTGCGGCCTGGCGCGGCTTGTCCTCGGACTCGACCCCGGTCAGCGCCTGTGCCGACTCGAGGAGCGCGTCGAGATGGGCGTAGACCTTGGTGTAGAGGGCAAGAAAGGTCTCGGTCGATGCCAGCGGCGGGTCGATGTTGGATGCGGTGGGCGTGTCGGCGAGGGCGAGAAAGGCTGAAGCGATGACAGGTGGAAGCGACGAGACAAAAGCAAGGTGCTTGTGGACCTTGGCGGCGTCGAGAGGCGTTGCAGTGGCCATGGAGAGACACTTGCAGACGCCAGCCACAAAGGCGGCAAGCGCCTGCTGGAGGTGCGCAACAGGGAGGCTGGGGTCGCCGTCTGCGGCCGATGCCAGCGGCGCAAGGCCGAGGAGCTTGACCACGGGCTCAGTGCCAAACTTGGGTGGCGAGGCCGCAGCGTCGTGAACTGTAGCTATGCCAGCTGTGACAGCAGCAGCGTCAACGCGTTTGGGATCCTCTAGAGTGATGGCCTGTGGGCCGGCCTGCGACGCAAGGTCTGCGTTGTGAAGGACCGGCGACGAGTCTGCAAACTCGTACGGTGGTGGTGAGTCCCCATCGTCCGCAGGAGGGCCGGACAAGCCGGCCGGGCCAGATGGGCCGGCACCATCTTCGGCAGCCATGGCCAGGGCGGCGACCTCGGCAGCCTTGGTGGCGGCAGCGTCGGGCTTGGTGGCGGCAGCATCAGTCTTGGCAACGGCGGCATCAGCGCGGGCATCGAGGTCGGCGGCATCGGACGGACGCGGTGGCCCCCCCGGCCCGATGTCAGGCGACGCCGGCGGGGCCTTGTGTGGGTCAAACGAGAGGTCCTGCTGCATGCGCAGCTCAACGTAGCCCGAGATGAGCTGGACGATCTGCTCAGGAACCGGTGAGTCAATGACGTACGGGCGCGAGGCATGCTTGCCAAAGTCGAGTGTAACGGTATTGCGCTTGGACGACCACTTGGCGAGCTGCGTGAGCTTGAAGCGAGTGACAATGGCGTTGGTCTTGGGATGAATGCGGAGGATGCGGTCACGGGTAATGGCAAGGACCGCCGGAGTCTTTGCTCCGGACGAGCGGGTCTCCATGACGTCAAACTTGGTGCAGCCAAAGGTCTTGAGCCGCTTGGCGAGGCGGATAAAGTACTTTCGCGCCGAGAGCGGAATCATGTCGCCGGTTCCAGGCTTGGAGTTGAGCGCAACGTGAGCATCAGCGAGCTTGGCGATGACGTTGTCGACCTTCCAGTGGCGGGCAGGGAGGACCTCTGCAAGTGCGCCTTCGATGGTGGCGCGGTGGGCGGTAGCATCGTCCGGCGGGTTGGAGAACTTCTCCTGGAGAAGGACGGCACCGAGCTGGAGCGCCTCCTCGATGCGGACCGGGTATGAATCCGTGAGAATAGCGTCACGGATCTCTGCAAAGACGCTGTCAAGATCGGTTTCTGGTGTGGAGGAGGCCAGAGCGCCGTCGAGAATAGCGTGATCGTCGTTGGTCACCAGCCGCTTACTGAAGAGCAGAACGTCGGTGGGGAGTACGCCTTGAGAAGGCAAGTCTGACAGCATGTTGAGGTACCTCAGCGGAGCCGATGCCTGGCCGGCGGCGTTGCCGGCCGGCATGGACGCCGTGTTGACGAGGCCGTACGAGATGGCGTTGGTGACGCCAAACTTGGCAGCAATGGGAACAATGAGGTCCTGCACGAGATCGTTGTAGTTGGAAATGACCACCCGCGGTTCCTCGCCGAGAGCGGGGACGACGCGGAGTGGATAGGTGACGCGGGTAAAGAGCAAGTGGTTCTGGGCGTCGGGGTTGAACCGCAACTCAAGCAGCGTTCGCTCAGTGTTGAGCCACTCGCCGAGGGCAGCATCGACTTTGGACAGCGGCGACGTCCAGTCATCGTCAGCATCGACCAGGATCGAGTGCCTGCCACGCTTGGACTTGCTCTTCTTGGACTTCTTGGCGGCGGCAGCAGCAGCAGCAGCAGAACGGCCGAGGGTGAGCATGGACAGGACCGAGTCGAGCCGCTTGGGATGGATGAGAAAGAACGAGTGATCAGCACGAAGGCGGATCTTAAAGGCAGCAGCAGCCTTGGGCAGCAGCTCGCTCAGCGGCGTCGACAACTCCATGTGCTTGAACGTTTTCTTGGACGCTGACCGGGCGCCGGTCACACCGTCCATGGGGTCACCCAGGTAATGAAAGACAAACTTCATTGTAGGAGGGCGACAGGGAGGAGAGGGGGGAGAGGAGGTACGAGGGGGTGGGGAGGGCGGAGATGGACCAACCCGTGTAGGTTTGAAGTTGTGTTGAAAGGAGGTGGGAGGGGTGTGTGTGACGAGGAGGGGATGTGGTCGTGGTAGGTGGTGGTGGTGGTGGTGGTGAGGGAGGGAGGGGGAAGAGGCGAAATGATTCGAGAGGAAACACAAGTCGCCGGCCGGTGGACTGGTGGTGGAGCAGGGATGATGATGGGAGTGGCCGCCATGAGGGGAGGGGAAGGGGATGGGCTGCCGTGGCTGTGGAGGG